GCGAGGCTGTTGTTAGCAATAGTACTTAGACGTATATACCGCTTCACAGTGCTCTACAGCCCTCTCTAAGCTGTTTACAGAGTCAGCATATGGCCCACAAACAATCTGGGTCCTCATTTTACCCACCTTGGATGGAAAGCTGAATCGGTCTCGAGCTGGTCAGGATCGAACTGCTGGCAGTGAGCAGAATTAGCCTGTAATATTGCATTAACCACTGAGCCACTGTGGCTCAAGATAGATAGATACTGTAGATGTGAGAAAGAGAGAGAAATGGGTGGGAGAGAGGGGGGGGGTAGATAAAAGAAATCTAATAGAGATAGTGGAAAGATAAACAGGCAGGATATAGATAGAGATAGATAGATAGATAGATAGATAGATAGATAGATAGATAGATAGATAGATAGATAGATAGACAGACAGACAGACAGACAGACAGACAGACAGACAGACAGACAGATAGATAGATTAGATAGATAGATAGATGAGATAGATAGATAGATAGATGAGATAGATGATAGATATAGATAGATAGATAGATAGATAAATGATATAGATGATAGAGAGATAGAGATAGAGAGATAGAGAGATTAGATAGATAGACAGGCAGACAGACAGATGATGGATGGATGGATACCAATAGCAATAGCCCTTAACTTATATACCACTTCAGTGCTTTACAGCTCTGTAAGCGGTTTACAGAGTCAGCATAATTGCCCCTAACAATCTGGGCCCTTATTTTACCTACCTTGCAAGGATGAGTCAACCTTAAGTCAATCAGGTTCAAATTGCTGGCAGTTGGCAGAATTAGCCTGCAATTCCGCATTCTAACCACTGCACCACCACGGCTCTGTTAAGTAAGTTTCACCTGATTTTAAGTCCTTTCTGTCTATGGATCAGCACCAGTCCACGGTCGCATCCATAGGATGCAGGCGGCAAGCAAAGCCACCTTTCCGTTTTTTCAGCGGAAAAAACCTCTCTCCACAGAACCGATTCATGGTGCCCCAAAGTTTGGGAGCCATTGAGTTGGGTTGTATTTGGATACAAGTACTCCTCGACCTACAATCACAATTGGGAGCGTTGCTAAACAAGGCGATTGTTAACTGAGTTGCCCCCCCCCCCCGGAACGTTACAATTTTTCTTGCCGCCGTTATTAAGCAAAACCTGGCTTCCTCCACTGCCTTAGCTGGTCAGATACTGGCTGGGAAAGTTGATGTTGTTATTATTATTATTATTATTATTATTATTATTATTATTATTATTATTATTATTATTATTTAATCTTTAGTGAGATTCACAGCCTTTGAGGCTGGTTAATAGCTCAGCAGCTCGAGTCCTAACCAAGGACCTAGGAACTGTCAAGGTATCATCGGAGGATGTAAGCTGTTCTGAGTAAGGTGGTTTTTTGTAGAGTCAAAATGTTCAAGTCCGGCAAATTTAGAATTTCTAAATAGCGGGGTAGCCCTTTGGGGTTATTATTATTATTATTATTATTATTATTATTATTATTATTATTATTTTATATATTTCTATACCGCCTTTCTCCCGTAGGACTCAAGGCGGTGTACAGTCAAGAAAAATATAGACACACAAACATCATAAAATTGCTAATTAAAATTATTACTTAGTTTGGTCAATTAAATAAAACCCAGAATTAGATAACATTTAAAAAATCATTCACATGTTTGTATGTTTAGCCCCGCCTGTTGGAACATCAGAGTCTTGAGGGCACGGCGGAAAGCACGGAGATCAGGGATATTCCGTATCTCCGGGGGCAGTTCATTCCAAAGGGTTGGAGCCCCCACAGAGAAGGCCCTCCCCCTGGGAGTCGCCAGTCGACATAATTTGACTGACGGTACCCTGAGTAGTCCCTCCCTGTGAGAACGAACTGGTCAACTGAAGTTGCAAGTGGCAACCACATGACTCTGGGATCCTGCAACCCAGTGGTGGAATTCACTTTTTTTTTTTACTACTGGTTCTGTGCGCGTGGCTTGGTGGGCCTGGCTTGGTGGGCATGGCCGGGGAAGGATACTGCAAAATCCCCATTCCCTCCCCACTCTGGGGCCAGCCAGAGGTGGTATTTGCTGGTTCTCCGAACTATTCAAAATTTCCGCTACCGGTTCTCCAGAACTTGTCAGAACCTGCTGAATAGCACCTTTGCTGTAGCCATTGCAAATAAATGTCTCTTGACAAGTGCCGACATTTTGAGCCTGTGATTGTGGAAAATACTGCAATGGTTGTAAGTCTGAGGATCCCAGTTGTCCCCTTTTTTTTTTTTCCAGTGCCATTGTAACTTTGAACAGTTACTAAACAAATGGATGTAAGTCAACGACAACCTGTAGTTCTTGGAAACTCTCCAAAGCACAACAGTGCCTGTCAAACCCACCCAACCCCCAAAAAACCCCCCAAAAGACAAGTAGTCTTCTTAAAAAGACTTTCTGTAAGCCAGAAATGCTTTCATGACTAACAGAGATGCTCTGGTTTGTGATGATGTTTCCAAAAACATGTCCTCAGCCGTTCTCCAAGTGGGTGCAGCCCTACTGCACAGGGAGATAGCTCGAATGTACATCATGTTCCATCTTATAAATGAATAAATTTCCCTTACAGCAATGTGGATGAGGCACTAATGGAGTTGGTGAGAGATTACGAAGATGCAGGGTGGGGCAGGGAGGGGAAGGAGAAGGAATGGAGAAGAGAAAGAAAGGAGGGAAAGGAAATAAATAGATCAGGAGGGAGGGAGGGAGGGAGGGGAATGGGAGGGGAGAGAAGGGAAGGGAAGGGAAGAGGAGGGGAGGGGAACCAGATATTAAAAAAACAGAAAGACAGAGGGGGAAATTGGCTTATCTCAGAAAGGGCAGTTAAGTCCAAACGGAGTGAAACTGTGAAGACTGATTTGCACTTTCACCTAAATTTTCCCTTCGCTCGCAGCTTGACAGAGAGGATCGAATGCAGGCAGGAGGCTGGCATCTCAAGGACAGACCGAACAGATGTTCCGGCGTGGCTGGCTGTTTCCCATAACAAAATGAACAGAAATGATAGATGGGCGTTTTGTACTGGAGGCCCCTCTGTAGGGGAAAAAAAAAGGGGGGGGGGAATTAACCAAGCTTGCTTTTGCATGTGAAAGCCAGAGCTGGTTTTGTTTCTTCTATATGCCAATGCAGCTTATTCAGTAAAGTTTTATACTCTCGGTAAAATAATGTCCCGTTTTCTGCATTCGCCAACTGGACAGCTGACATAAACCTGGAAAGAAGCATTTCAAATAGTCCGCCTTAAATGAGAAGAAGAAATTCATTTTACAGGATTCTGTACTTACCCCTGTTAAAATGACGCTGTGAAAAACTGTATAATTTACATTGCTTTGTGTTGGATGCTTATCCTACGGCTGAGTAGTAATATATAGAAAACTATGTTCTGTAACTTTAGCTGCTACAAAGATGACTAATTGGCTGTGCTAAGCAGACATAGAAAGAAGTTCATTCACTTCTGCTCCTGCTATTAGAAGGTTGAACTGCTGAAAGGAACTGTGTCTGTGTTACTGAAGAGAACTGGAATTGTAAGCAAACTATGTTTTGTTGTTGAACCGTGATTGTTTGAAGAAGTGTTAGCTTTGTTTTGAGAAGCCAAGTTGGTTATTTTTACTACAAGTAAAGACTGTTTATTTTTCTTTAAACGTTCAGAGTCTGTGAGCATCTGTGTGTTTTGCTAAGCAACGTATCTATTCGCTGTCTGGTCCGTTGCTCCACTTTGCAGAGGGCGGTTTTACCCTCAACACTTTGATTTTACCCAGTTTGGTAGAACTTCGTAGAGTTTTCATTAAGGTGGCCCTCTTGTATAGGATCTCCTGCTTGAGCTTGGGCTAGAAGCAGTGGCGGGATTCAAGTAATTTAACAACCGGTTCTCTGCCCTAATGATTTCTTCCAAAAACCAGTTTGCCAAACTCTTCAGAAAGTTAACAACCGGTTCTCCCGAAGTGGTGCGAACTGGCTGAATCCCACCACTGCCTAGAAGACTTTCAAGGTCCCCTACCAGTTCTATTCTGATTCTGATGGATTGACACAGAATGTTGGCCTTGGATAGAGATTTGAAGAACAGCCTCTGTGGTGTAAACCTTGCAAACTTAGTAAACCCCAGCTCCTTAACGGTACTATAATTCAAAGTTAAACAATCCAACCATAGTAACTGCCAATGACCCTAAAGGAAGTCCTGGTCTTCCATTCCTTAAGCTTTGTGCATCATACATGAACGACCAGAGTAGTTGGTTTAAGTTAATTAGCAGGGTCAGCTTAACTAAATTAGTTCGGCAAACTTTCTTGTATCAGAGACCCACTAGACTAGAGAAACTCCAGGGCTACAGACTAGATATCTGTAAAAAAAAAAAAAAATACTTAGGCCTACATTTAAAATAATATTTAATAAAATTTGAAATAATAAATAATAAAAAAATGAAATTATTTGGTAACGAAAACAATAACCTGCCCATTTAACTGATAACAGTTGTGTCAATTTTGGGGCAGCAGCACAAAGCTTTCAAGAGGGTAGTAATCCACTACTATCCTCGAGTGGAGCTTGTTAAATGTTTGTGTGTGAGTGTGAGTGTGAGTGTGTATGTGAGTACACAGGCCTGCCCCTGAATCTTTGAGCCAGCTCAACTCCTTAAATGTGTTTGTGAAGTTTTCTTGTAGAGCAGACAACCAGAGAAACTGCAGAGCTGTAGACTAAACTGGAAAGTAGAAAAGTAACGCATGGTTTCCTTCAGGATTCAGATGGCACGAACAGAATAAAATAAACAGCTGATCAATAAAATAATATATAATAGTTGGGGGGGGAAACAATCAAATCTCTGTGAGATGGGCAGTTTCTACATTAGACATACAAATAAATAAAAACAAAAATCACATCAAATCTGGACGAAGGGCATAGCAACCAAGCCCTGTAGAATGGAGAACATTGATTTTGTTTTTTTCCCCCTACTGCAAATTACAAAAAACAAATCAGGCCATGAGTGGAATCCAATTGTTTATTCTTTATTATTATTATTTTCTTTATTGGAATTATGCCATTTTTTTTTCTCTTCAAACACACATTCAAGGCTGCTGATTATATATTTGTCTGCTTAACTGGTTTCCATTTGGGGAAATATACAGATCTATGCATAACATCGAAGACCCTGCCTGATCAGCTGGAGAGATTATACGGGCCAAGAAAAAGGGGACAACTTCTTGAGTGGGAGGAAGAGAAGCTTTAGAAGAGGAGCTTCATCAGGAGGAGCCCAAGGAATGCTGGGAAGAAGGATGCAAATGAGGGAGGAGCTTTGCTGCAGATAACTTCTTTAATGACTGCTCCAACTGGAATGCCGGGTACCTGGGAACTGGAAGCCTTCCCTTTCTGCTCTTCAAATAACTTGCAACCATCTTTTGGACTGCAACTTTTCATAGTGTTTTGGACTTTCTGGGATCCTGGAGAAACAGAAACATCAGTGATCAGAGCCGTCTCTCAGACTTAAAGGAAACCCTCCTTCCAGCCAAATACCGATTTCCAATATAGGGAAGCCCTCGACTTAGAACCACAATGGAGCCCCAAAATTTCTGTCGCTAAATAAAACAGCGGTTAAAAACGGCTTTTGTCCCGTTTTACCATTGGTCTCGCCACCGTTGTTATTTTGTGGTATTGTTTGAACAGTACCGGAAAAGGCTTTGGGCGGAAATCAGTCCTCGCCGAAAGCAGAAGTGGTTATACTTCTCACGGGACAATCGCAACATCATTGCTCAGCGAATTTAAAAAGGGATGGGGTTTGATTGGGTGACATCAGAAATTACCTTTGTTTGTGGGTAATAAGAATGCATCCTCAAAGCATATCAGATCGGACTATAAAAATGATTTGTTTGGGAATTCTCTGGAATCGGAGTTTGAGTTGCAGACATTTTATTCCAATGTTTCCCCCAAAAAAGTTTGGAGAACAATGGCAACTATCCTGAGATACACACATCCATCATAGATGTAAGGCTATTTTTATTCAATAAGCTGAAAGTTGGGTCTAGTTAGCCAACTATTTGTTTTTGTTGTTGTTGTTGGTTGAGAAGTCGTGTCCGATCCATCACGACCCCATGGACAATGTTCCTCCAGGCCTTCCTGTCCTCTACCATCCTCTGGAGTCCATTTAAGCTCACGCTGACTGCTTCAGTGACTCCATCCAGCCACCTCGTTCTCTGCCGCCTCCTTCTTCTTTTGCCCTCAACCTTTCCCAGCATTAGGCTCTTCTCCAGTGAGTCCTTCCTTCTCATTAGGTGGCCAAAGTATTTGAGTTCCATCTTCAGGATCTGGCCTTCTAAAGAGCAGTCAGGGTTGATCTCCTCTAGGACTGACCGGTTGGATCACCTTGCAGTCCAAGGGACTCGCAGGAGTCTTCTTCTAGCCAACTATAGTCTCATCCATAGCCCATGATTCTGCAAGGGCAGGAATCTCTTACAGGCACTCCTCAACTTATGACCACAATTGAGCCCGAAATTTCTGTTGCTAAGTGAGACAGTTGTTAAGTCAGTTTTGCCCCATGTTACACGGTTGTTAAATGGCTTCGCCCATTGGCTTTGCTTGTCAGAAGGACGCAAAAGTTGATCACTTGACCCTGGGACACTGCAACTGTCATATATATGAGTCAGTTGCCAAGCGTCTGAATTTTGATCACCTGACCATCGGGGACGCTGCAACAGTTGTAAGGGGAAAAAACGGTCCTAAGTCACTTTTTTCAGTGCCGTTATAACTTCGAACGGCCGCTGAACAAACTGTTGTATATATTGAGGACTAACTGTACGATGGGCATGATCAAATTATTCCACTTTGGACAATTTTGTGAAGGCTCAGTTCTTTGGAGGAAGCCATAATGCAGGGAACAGTAGAAGACAAAAGAAAAAGAAGACAACCAGAATCAAGGTGGATGGACTTCCTTACACTGGTGATGGTGGAGGCACGGTCGGAATACCTGAAGGACCATCATCCCCCTGATGGCACAACGATCCATCAGATTTATGGAGCTTGCAAAATCCACGTTATAACAGAATAACAGAGTTGGCGGGGACCCTGGAGGTCTTCTAGTCCAACCCCCTGCTAAGGCAGGAAACCCTACACCACTTCAGACAAATGGTTATCCAACATCTTCTTAAAAACTTCCAGTGTTGGAGCATTCACAACTTCTGGAGGCAAGTCATTCCAGTGGTTAATGGTTCAGGAAATTTCTCCTTAGTTCTAAGCTGCTTCTCTCCTTGATTAGTTTCCACCCATTGCTTCTTGTCCTGCCCTCAGGTGCTTTGGAGAATAGTTTGACTCCCTCTTCTTTGTGGCAACCCCTGAGATATTGGAAGACTGCTATCATGTCTCCCCTAGTCCTTCTTTTCATTAAACATTATTTATTCCCTTTTTGGGGGGGTGGGGGGAAGGACTTGTCTTACTCACCGACATTAAGTTCAGTAGTCATCTTCATACAAACAGCATTGTCAAAACCACATTCTTGCTTTGATCCAGAGCAATCTGAACTTTGTGCGTTGCATATTTCACACGACAAGGAATTACCTGGAGAGGGAGGGGAAAAAATAAGGAGGAGCTAAGAAATTAGGGCAGGGATAAGGAATCAGAAAGGCTTTCGATATTACCGGTAGCCTTCGACTCGCGACCTCAGCTGAACCCCAAATCTCTGTCGCTAAAACATTTTTAAGTCAATCTTGCCCCCTTTTACAATCTTTCTCGCCCGTGGATGTTAAGTGAATCGCTGCTGTTGTTCAGTGAGTAACCCAGTGGTGAGTGGTGGGTTGCCCCCGGTTCACAAGAACCAGTAGTATATACTGGTTGGATGGAGCTGAAGAGGTTGTAGGGGGGAAAAATGCCTTTAAAAGCCTTTGGCGATCCCAGCTGAGTTGCCTGATCATCAGAGGCTTTTAAAAGTATTTTTTTCTGCAACCTCCTAAGGTTGTAGAAAAAATGCTTTTAAAAATAAAAAAAAAAAAGAAAAAGTTGGCCATGCCCACCCAGTCACATTACCCCTCCACCAACCCACGCCCACAAAATAAGCCACGCCCACAGAACCGGTAGTAAAAAAAATGTAGAACCCACCCCTGCTGGTGGTTAAGTGAATCTGGCTTCCCCACTGCAGTTTCCCTTGGGAAACTGTAACCGTCATAAATATGAGCCCAAACACCTGAATTGTGACCCCTTTGGCCGTGAGGATGCTGCAAGGGTCGTAAGGGTGAAAAAACAGTCATAAGTCACGTTAAGGAAAACTTAGAAGATGATGAAAAACTCTTCCAGAGACGAAGTTTATAGCAGAAGACATTGTGAGGTCGAGGAGGTGCAGGCAACTAACTTTAAGCAGGGAGGGGAAGGAATAAATAAGAAGGTGCACAGATTAGACAGAAAGCAAAAAGAAATTGCCTTTGTTCCATTTGGCAACTGTCAAAATTCCTGGGGAAAGTAGGCAGTTAGAAATAGAAAGGAAGGAAGCTTGTTGCTTTGCTAAATTACACCGTTGATTGTTCCATAGGAAAGTTGATGCGATGAGGTTAACGGGAAAAAATGCTGGCGTGATAGCTTTCGCTTCCTATTCTAAGGGACACCCTGTTCCCACACAACGAAGAGGGTAACAATGGTCTCTTCGGCTATTTGTTTATTGCCATTAAATTGGAATTAGCTGGACCGTTTCCCATAAGAACATCCCAGAGAGAGGCGATGATGATCAAGCAATTCTAGAAGACTGCCAAGAAATAAACCAAAAGGCCAGAACAGCCCCAGAAGAAGGAAAAGGGAAAAAAAAAATCCAGGAGTCATCTACAACGTACAGTGTAATGACTGCAGCAGCCCACTGCGTAGAACAAACAGAACAGAAGATTGGCAGAATGAATCCACCAACACCGACGAACAGGAACGGAGTTGGAAGGGACCTTGGAGGTCATCTAGTCCAACCCCCTGCTCATGCAGGAGACCTGTATTAGGGATTCGAACCGCCGAACTGCCAGCCTTTCTGATCGGCAAGCTCAGGGTCTTAGCCACTGAGCCACTTAACGCAGGTTGGAAGAAGACGTGAGGAAAACTCTTTCATTTCACAACGTACAGACAGACTTAACCATAGCTTCAATTAGGAAATATAGCGGGTAAAGACAACGTGGGGGGGGGGAATTGTACAAAGTTCAGTGTGGCAATGAAATAGTTACATATATATATATATATATACACTGCTATATACACTGCTCAAAAAAATAAAGGGAACACAAGCCGAAGACATCCGAGATCTGAAATGAATGAAATAGCCTGATTAAATATTTTGTTCATTACATACAGTAGTTTTGTGTTCCCTTTAGTTGTTTGAGCAGTGTATAAACTACTGTATTTTATTTATTTATTTATTTATTTATTTATTTATTTATTATTTATTTATTTATTTATTTATTTATTTATTTATTTATTTATTTATTTATTTATTTATTTATTTAAATTTTTATGCCGCCCCCTCTCCCGAAGGACTCGGGGCGGTGAACAGCCAAAATTAAAAACACACAATACAAACATTAAAATACTATAAAATGAAATTAAATTTATCTTTGGCTTCCCCGATTTAAAATCGTTGTATGTAACGAACAAAGTATTTAATAAGGCTATTTCATTCATTCAGATCTCGGATGTCTTCTGCTTGTGTTCCCTTTATTTTTTTTTATTTTTTTTTGAGCAGTAGATATATAATTAAGGGGGGAAATATCTATGGCGCCTCCTTTTCCTTACTGTCCTAAGCTAGTGTTTATTTTACTTCATGGTTAATTCGGAGCAAACCTGGTCATGGGAAAGGACCATCCATGAATGTGCTAAGTTCTCTCTTGGCTTGACTACATTTCGATAAACCTTACCCTAGTCTAGTCTGACTCTACAACCACTGTTTTTTTGTTTTTTTGTTTTTCCCAAGCAAACCACTCCCTCTTTGAGACGTTCTCAAGGCTTTTCGCAATTCCATAGGAAATCCACCCCACCCCACCCCAAGGGCCCGCCATGGAGGATTCGCCTTAGACAACCTCACGCACACACCCCAAGGACACCCCTGATCATACCTGTAGTCAGAAGGACGGAGAAGAAGAAAAGTCCCAGTAGAAGCTGCATAGCGATGAGTTAGGCACGGAGGGTGGTTTTTTTTAAATAAAATAAAATAAAATAAATCTCGCCTTGAAGGAAAACACCTTTCTACGCCAACCTGTTAAAAAGGCCAACTTGTTAAAAAGGCCAGCCATTCTCTTCAGCCCCCCACCCCACCCCACCCCACCGAAGACAAATGTAAGTAGCAGCCACTCAAATTGGTGGGCTTCGCTTCATAAGCAAATAATATTAAAGAAATAGTGCTCCCTTGGGTTAGCCCAGCAGTTCAATGGCAAAATTTTAAAATTTTTGTATCGGGTGACATGAAAAAGACGGGGAGAAATAATATCTGCCAACACTATGCCAATATCTGACTTGCAATGAACGGAAAGTTTAGTATCTCTCGCTCCTTTCCTCTTTTTTACAAAATATGGTAAGCTTGTTTCTCAACCGCCTTGTGGACAAGCTTTATAAGTTTTTGTGGTTACAAATTGACATAATACATTAGACATTTTTTCTCCTTTTTGCTACTTTATGGGTATCTATCTATCTATCCATCCATCCATCCATCCATCCATCCATCCATCCATCCATCTATCTATCTATCTATCTATCTATCTATCTATCTATCTATCTATCAGTATGTTCCGCTTGGCTTCTAGGTGCTCTCTAAGAAAGGATTTTTCAAAATGACCATCAGATCATTAGTATTTCTTATATTATTATTAACATGCTTTGATGCTAAGGAGTTAGATGTTTTACTCCCCTTCCCACCTGCAAAGAACTCTGTTCCAACTGCCACTTGGGCATGGGTGTGGCCAGTGCATGACTCATTTGGCCTGTGGGCTGAGAGTTTAGACATTCTATTCCCCTCCCCATCTGAAAAATGCTCTGATGCTAAGGAGTTAGACTGAGGGAGAGAAGGGGATAAGATAGGAGAGGCCTCTGTGGGGCAAGCCTGAGGGAGAGAAGGGGCAAGCCTGAGGGAGAGAAATTGACAGGGATAAGATAGGAGAGGATCAATGCGGCCAGCCTGAGGGAGAGAAGGGGGATAGGAGAGGAGAGGCTTCTGTGCGGCAAGCCTGAGGGAGAGAAGGGGAGAGAAGAGGCCGAACATAACTACTCATTAATTTTCAAGCTGTAAGTGTTGATTTATCAAGCCTGATCACATAGTTTCATAGCAGAGCACGGGTATCCAGCTAGTTGTATAATATAGGATACAGACACAAATCCTGAGATGGCATTGATTCACTCTGTGTCTTTGCTAGGATTTTCCTGGGGTAAGTTTCTTCATTAACAAGTAAGTGAGCAGGTTCATCACCACCAGCATCCTTCATTCACCATACATATGCAATACTTGTGAAGAAGACTCTGCTGTATTTAAGAAAATCATGCAGGGTTCCCAGTCATAGAATAATGCAACAAGAAAAGGCTTTCTGGGTTTTGCTGCAACCACTGTTTTGTCCCCACCACCATCACCTTAACCAGTGATTTATAGTCAGGGTTAAAGAACTCAAATGTCCTCACCTTTCGGTTAATTAAAAAATAAAACAAAAATAATAGGGGTGTTTAAGAACAGCAATGAAGTTGCAAAGTTGTACTGCTTTATAAAGCCTTAGTAAAACCACACCTGGAATACTGCATCCAGTTTTGATCACCACATTATAAAAAGGATGTTGAGACTTTGGAAAGAGTGCAGAGAAGAGCAACAAAGATGATTAGTGACCTGAAGTCTAAAACATGTGAAGAACGATTGCAGGAATTGGTATGGCTAGTCTAATGAAAAGAAGGACTAGAGTGACATGATAGCGGCATCCCAATATTTGAAGGGCTGCCACAAAGAAGAGGTCAACCTGTTTTCCAAAGCACCTGAAGGCAAGACAAGATAGCAGTGGATGGAAACTAATCAAAGAGAGAAGCAACCTAGAACTAAAGAGAAATTTTCTAACAGTGAGAACAAATAATCAGTGGAACAGCTTGCCTCCAGAAGTTGTGGGTGCTCCATCACTGGAGGTTTTTAAGAAGAGACTGGATAGCCACTTGTCTGACATGGTATAGGCCCGTGATGGCGAACCTATGGCATGCGTGTCACAGGTGGCACACGGAGCCATATTAGTGGGCACGCCAGCTCAGTTCTGGGGCGCATGCGCGTGCCGGCCAGCTGATTTTCAGGCCTTCTGGGCCCACCAGAAGTAAGGAAACAGGCTGTTTCCTGCCTCTGGAGGGCCTGGGAGGGGTGGGGAAGGCCCGTTTTTCTTTCTTACCTGGCTCCAGATCCTCTCTGTGTATCTGGGAACGGCGAAAACAGCCTTTCCCACTCCCTTGGAGGCCCTACATAGGCTGAAAGGGCCCATTTCCCCACTCCCGGGGGACAGGAAGTGACTTTTTTTCCTGTCCCCAGCCTCCAGAGACTCCTAGAGAGGCTCCTACAGACTCCTAGAGAAGCTCCTAGAGATTCCTAGAGAAGTTCTGGAGGCTGGGGACAGCAAAAAATGTCACTTCCTGTCCCACTGGGAGTTGGGAAATGGGCCCTCTCAGCCTCTGTAGGGCCTCCAAGGGAGTGGGAAAGGCTGTTTTCGCTGTTCCCAGATACACAGAGAGGATCTGGAACCAGGTAAGAAAGAAAAACGGGCCTACCAGGCCATCCTGTGCCAGGAGCGGGGCGGAGGGGGTTGCGCACACATGCGCGTGGGCACATGCGCGCGCAACCCTCCCCCACCCCCCCTCTCCTGACACGCAATGGCAAAAAGGTTAGCCATCACTGGTATAGGCATTGGTGGGATTCACCCAGTTTGTACCTATTCGGGAGAACCAGTTGTTAACTATCTAAGCAGTTCGGAGAACCGGCTGTTGAAAGAAATCTTATTTTGTTTTTTTCCACTTTACAGGGCTAATCCTGTAAGGGAGGCAGGAAGGAAACATTCTGGTGTTGTTTCTAGCCTAATCTTTATTGCCCTGCTTACAGAAACTGCCTCTCTGGTTAACCCTAATTACATTATAACAGCTAAGGCAAAGCACCCATTGATGTGAGTGACATTGAGTTGGCCAAGCCCATCCAGTCACATGACCACACAGCCATGCCTACCCAGTCGGTCATTAGGGCAGACAACCGGTTGTTAAATTATTTGAATCCCACCACTGGGTATAGGATCTCCTGCTTGAGCAGGGCGTTGGACTGGAATCCCTTCAAGATCCCTTCCAGCTCTATTCTGATTAATTGATTGATTCAGATTCTCAATTAATGTCTCTTTAACTCGTTTTTTGGAAAGTCAAGTTTATTGAAAATCAGCACAAGAATTGTGTTGGCATGAGAGCTGTGAGTAAATAATAAATCTCCATTTCTTTAAACACTACAGAAGAGTACTAGTGTTGCAACAAGTTGTTATTTTCAAAATGTTGACTGAATTACAGGGAGTAGAAAAAAGGTGACAATTTTACTTTACAGAGAAGAGAGGCTGAAAACAATGATGTACCACACAGATAGTGAAAATTACTGAAACCTACAGACTCCATCCTTTAAAGAGATTTAGATAAAAAATCTAAAAAAAGAACCTTGGCATTTTTAGCATTGTCCTGTACAGTTCTCTATCACAATTCTTTGCATTTTTCAAAATAACTTACTTTTAACATCACACAAAACACTATGTTTGATTTAAAAAACACACAAAGAAATATACTTTTAGAAAACAGAGTTCTTGGAAGACTAGGGGATAATTTCACCATAAGCTTATTATTTGCAAAGTTCTCTTAATTTGAGGTAACATATTTCTTTCCCTTCCAAAGGGGAAAAAAAATTTCATTTATTATAAAGTATCCTCATATACTGAAAGAAATACTATTGATAACCAGGGATGTCTACACAGTATGATCAGAAAAATGAATATGGTAGCCATAATAAGGCCACCAAAGTACCCGTTGTTTTTTTTTTTAATGTGTGTCATTCAATCCTAATGGGTAAGTTTCTTTGTTTAGAAAAGTTACATAGCCGCCCACTCACTCTCATTGACTCTGGGTGGCTTACCAAAATAAATAAATTAAAAAATGTACAACCATTAAAACAATACCCCCACCCCTCAATACAGGTTCCATTACAGTCGTAACTCAAGGACTACCTGTATGTGTACCACTCATAGTCACACCAAAAACTCCACAGCCAGGTTCAGTGCTAATTTAAAACAGCTCATATAAAAGGTTCCCACTCATGGTATTCATGTGGATGTGATGAAAAGTATGAAAACAGTATCTGACAATTTTGTTTTTCTTTTTGTATGGCATGCCAAAAGAGGCATGCCAAACCAGCTTTGTCATATATTCTTTAAATATTGTAATCAAAATATTATCCTATCGTCTTTGATTCAACCTGCTCCTTCATTACCTGAGAAGAACAACAAAGCTATAAATAAATCTACCTGAGCATGCATCCTAATATTAGCAAAACTAATCTGAAAAAAATATATTTTCCAAGGAGATATGCGTGTGATAAAACCTAAATCGCATTGTGAACATCTGGATGTTATAATCACTGTGTTACGACGTTGCAGGAGGGACATGTGCCCGTGATTGATGTGATTGCACGTTGCCTTGGTGGTGCAGCCTTCCATGATCGAGTCCCAGAGCACCCCATCTGGATATGGAAGACAAAATAAGCAATCCGATGGAATCACATGATGGAATCTACCAGTAGTTGGTCTTCAACCTGTTTTCTCTCCATTGAGTCAAAATAAATAACGGGAAGTACAAAGTACAGGTAGAGAGATGGGCTCTTTCCTAGTTCAATAGCTACCTCAAGTTAGACGCAATCCAGATGTAGGAGTTGACCAGGCTGAGCCCAAAGGAGGGGTCAAGCAGGTCATCAGTCTCGAGTCCCTTTGTGCCCGCCAGAGATCTCAGTCCAGCCTTCCTTGAATTTTTATCTACCGCCAACTGGCTTTGACTGTTAGTAGTTCAGATTCTTATAAAGAACTTAAGCTTGCAATCATCATCATCATCGTTTAACGACTCCATAATCCCTTGCGGGGTAGAGTCTGGGCAACTGAATGGAGCTAGCAGAGTCTTTACTGGCCAGATGCCCTTCCTGACGCCAATGTGGAGTTTTGTTCAGCAGATATATTCTCATTGTGTCCAGAGAGAGAAATATCTGCCTCTACCTAGGATCAAACTCGCAGCCTTCTGATTGTGAGGTGAGAACTCCACCTCTAGGCCACCACACCACTCCTAGAGAACTTAAGCTTGTAATAAACCCATATAAGAGCCGAGGTGGCGCAGTGGTTAAAGTGCAGTACTGCAGGCTACTTCAACTGACTGCTAGCTGCAATTTGGCAGTTCAAATCTCACCAGGCTCAAGGTTGATTCAGCCTTCCATCCTTCCGAGGTGGGTAAAATGAGGACCCAGACTGTTGTTGAGGCAATATGCTGACTCTGTAAACAGCTTAGAAAGGGCTGTAAAAGCACTATGAAGCGGTATATAAATCTAAGTGCTATTGCTATATTCATTTGACCTGCCTGGAATTCTGATTTTCTGTGCTTGTCACCAGGCACCTCAGCATGGGAAACAGAACTCACCTCCGTAGGAACGCATAAACAGGTGGAAGCAGTAATGTTCGTTTCCGGTACAATTCGTCAATTCTTTCTCACATGTGCCTGTGTCAGAAAAGCAGGCGGGACATTGCCGTCCATTGGCATCAGTCTGTACTGATGGTACTGAAAACAGAAGTGGAAAGGGTGAGAAGAGTCCCAGAATAGCAATAGCACTTAGACTTATATACCTCTTTATAGTACTTTTACAGCCCTCTCTAAGCGTCAGCCTATGGCCCCCAACAATTTGGCTCCTCATTTTATCCACCTCGGAAGGATGGAGACTGAGTCAACCTTGAGCCAGGTGAGATTCGAACTGCCAAATTGCAGGCAGCAGAAATACCCTGCAGTATTTCTTCTGCAAGCAGAGTGGCAAGCAGAGCCATGTCTCTGGGAATGCCAGCAGTCGCCTGTTGCTCTTCTGGGTTTCAGCACACACATGTGCACCCGCCAGCTGGTCTTTGCACACGCATGCATGCCAGAAACCAGAAAATCAGGTGATTGGCGCTCAGGAGCACACCGGAAAGTGGAAGCTCAGCCTGCGCGGGCCGGGGAACTGCTCTTTTGGTTTCCGATGCTCACACACTTCTGTTTCGGCACTCGGTGCCGAAAAGGTTCGCCAACACTGGCATAGGCTTTCCTGCTTGAGCAGAGGGTTGGACTAGAAGACCTCTGCTATCTTTTGCAACTCTGGGGATTTTGTCAATGCTGAAGGTGTGTCTTCCAGATTCTCCAATGTTTTCTTCTCTTCTGGGGGAGACGGGTGTTTTTCTACCAGGTTCTGAGGAGGAAGTCAGTTTTCATTAGCACTTTAGTTCTGTAAAGCATCGGGTGGTAATGAGGCTGATTGATTGGCTTGTACATTAAGAAGCAAAAAAAAGCAAATGTTGAAAGAGATGTCAAGAAAAAGATAAGTTTTGCTCTACAGTTATTCTTGATGGGTATTATTAGAGACTGTACTGCTAGAGAAACTAAATCGATGTTAAATTTAATGACGGCAGCAAGACTTTTGGTGGTGCAATATTGGAAGAAGGAAAACCTACCATAGAAGAATGGACATTAAGAATGGACATCCAATTTAGTGGAAATGGCAAAAAATTATGCATATTTGAGAGATCAATCACAAGAAAGTTATATTTTGGAATGGAGAAGCTGGATTGACTGCATACAAAGTAAATATGGGACTAAAAAGTTTCAAATAGCATACGAATGAATACAAGTATTTAAGAAGATGTGTTATCATTTAGTTATGCCAAAAGGGAGTTAAAGTGTGAAAGGGTGGAAAAAGTGTTTATAGACAGTTAGCATATGTTTGTCTAAGATTGTTAGATGAAATACCCTGTACTCTGCTCTGGGAAATGGGGGGGGGAGGGAGGAGGGAGAGGTAATGGGGGGGATGCTAGGGTTTAATTTTGTGTAAAATGTAAAATAAAACTCTTTAAAGAAAAAAAAAGAAAAGAAAACATACACGCTTACATGAAGGGATGGCTGTTCTACAAGCCTTATCAGCGCAACAAACCAAACTTCCTTGAAGGATTTTCCCGTTCCCCATATTCAAGTGGGTTTTTGGAGAATTGCAGACCACGATGGATTCACAGCCCTTGGCAACTGTCTGCATCGTTCTACTCCCTGGAAAGAAAGAGGAAGGCATGTCCTAAGGGACTAGACTAGCCAGCAGCTGATGCATCCCATAATTTAAGCAGGAAGGGAGACACTATTGATCTTGGGGTTTGGCCGAAAAGTGACTACAATTTCCAAAAGTCTACTGGGGAAGCATGGAGAATGTGTCACCGACAAGAAAATCCATAATTGAAGATGATCATCAGCAGTTCTTTGTCTACCACGGACCCGGGAGGGCACCAAGAGTCGGTAGCTGTTTCCAAAATGTATTAGAATCTGGCAGACATGGTCACCTCTGGCAGGGATGGATGGATGGATGGATGGATAGAAGAGAGAGAGAGATAGATAGATAGATAGATAGATAGATAGATAGATAGATAGATAGATAGATGATGGATGGATGGATGGAAAAAGAAAGAAAGAGAGAGATGAGAGCAGTGGTGGGTTGCTCCTGGTTTGCCCCAGTTCAGGCGAACTGGTAGTGGCGGAGGCGGGAGACTCTGCCCACCCACCCAGACGTCATCCAAAACACTCTGTGCTTGTGCAGAAGCACTGCACAGTCGTGAAGCTAGCAAGCACGCCTGTACTCTACCAATAGCGAACTGGTAGCGCTGGGATTTGTATCCCACTACTGGATGATAGATGATAATGAGAGATGAGAGATGAGAGATGAGAGATGAGAGAGAGAGAGAGAGAGAGAGAGAGAGAGAGAGAGAGAGAGAGAGATGAGAGAGTAGATAGATGATAGACAGACAGACAGACACAGACAGACAGAAAGGACAGACAGACAGATGATAGATGGGTGGGTGGGTGGGTAAATAGGTAGGTAGATGATAGAGATAGATGATAGATAGGACTGTGATAGATTGGACTGTGTCCAATCAATTGAGCATGGGATACCCCTTTCAGCCTTTCATGAGAATACAGTATAAGAAGTGTCGACTTTAACTCCCAGAATTCTTCAGCCAGCATGACTGGCTGAAGAATTGTGGGAGTTGAAGTCCACGCGTCTCAAAGTTCCCCAGATTGGGAAATATCTCAAAAAGACCATGCTGGGATCTCCTTCAGATGACAGTCCACCAGCATTTCCTTTGCCAATGCTCCAGAAATATAAATCAGCTAAAAGTACGCAAAGTACATAGGCTAGGATTAGATGTCTCCATGTCATCCTAAATGCTATGTCATTTAGGCTAAACTGTTCGCTTAAAGAGAGTCTAGATATGGTGTACATTCGTCACTAACCTAGAGTGCTATGAATTAAAATGACGACACAAGTTTCTTGTTCAGCCTCACAGGTCTTCAGGTTGCCCGTACAGTTGGTGCCAATGTCAGAACATACTTCACACTTCAGAGTGGTAACTTGAGAAGAGAGAGAAAAAGAGCGAGTTTTCTGAGAACGTATATAATTGCATCATCCTTCCTGAATTCCTTAACCATTTTCTTTGGAGGTATTGTCAATGGATTATAGCAGGGGTGTCAAATTCGATTTCACTGAGGACCTCATCAGGGTTGTGTTTGACCTCAGGGGGTGGGGGGAGGTGGGCATGGCCAGGATGGGCATGGCCAGCTCGACATCACTTGTGCTGGGAGCACCTGTAGTGGCCCGAACATTCTGCCAGTGAAAACTGAGCTCGGGAGGGCCACGTTTTTGCTGGCAGAGGGTTGCAGGAGGCCGTTGCAGCCAAAACCAGAGCTTGGGAGGGCCGCATGCAGCCCTCCCTGCCTCCGTTTTCACTGGCAGAGGCAACGCGGGCCAATCCTTCTGTCAACTTGCAAAGCTTTCAAGTTGCCATGAGCAGGAGGGAGGGAGAACTGATAGAGCTGACTGATTTCCCTAACTGAAGTGCATTCCATACATTCTTCCTGACCGCAATCAGAAGGAGGGTGTTGGATTTCACAGCCAGCCAAAGTGGTTAATTGGAGAATGTGATTTATGACATGGCCAGAGAGGAGGGGAGAGACAGGGTCATAGGGGAACGTAAATCTACGTGGGATTAGTTCTAACTGCATCCGAATATTGTCAAATATTTTACAGCAAACCTGTAAAATAATTGTTTGGGAAAAGATTGCGTTGTAGAGATTCTGAAATAGAGTCAGAACAATTGGGAATTTTGGATCTTCTCTAGTCCTGCTCAGATCATCAATTTGGTTCAGGTCATCAGCTCTCTCCAAATTGAAGATTCAAAACATTAACCTGAACTGAATCTCCAGATCAAAGTATTATACAATCCTAACAGGTGTAGTCATGGGTGGGCTGCTGGGGATTCGCAGGGGTTCAGGAGAACCTCTAGCTAAGATTCTTGCAGTTTGGAGAACTCCCAAATCCCACTCCTGGCTGGCCCCGCCCACCTAACCCCTCCCCTCCCAGGAGTCCCCATGCGGCCTGTTTTGGATGCAGGTAAGGGCAGGACATGTACAGAGGCTTGGGGTGAGCAAAAAAAGGGCCTACTGGAAGTTTGGGAAGGCCAGAAATGGGCCTCCGGAGCCTGGGGAGGCCGTTTTCACCCTCCCAGAGGCTAGAGAAAAGCCTCTGGAGCCCGGGGAGGGCAAAAATGCCCCCCCCCACCATGGTGCAGGAGACCACCTAGGCCATGCCCACCATGGCCACGCCCACCCAGCAACCAGGCAGAGAACCCCTTTCTAAAAATTTTGAAGCCCATCCATGAGTGTAGTAGTGTTCCTTGACTTACAAGCACAATTGGGACCGGAATTTTAATTGCTAAGCAAGGCAGTTATTAAGTGAGTTAACCCTGATTTTTAAAAACCTTTCCCCACCCCCCATCTTCTCTGAGGCTTCCTTACCTGTCTTTAGAAATTCAAAGAACAAGAAGATTTGCAGCAAAGATTGAACGGGCTTGGTTATTCCACCATGAGAGGGTATGTCCAGAAACTTTTCCTGCATTGTAGTAAATTCTCCAGGTGAAAGGAACCTTGAATGGGGAAGGAAGAACAAGGGTGAAGGTATTCACTTACCTTCACTACCAGTTCTCAAATGTGAGCGCGCTCATGCAGAGCGTCAAAAATACATATTACACAACTGTGACTTGAAATAAACACCTGTGCTTCTGAACCAAGTTAGTTGGATGTGGGATGCACTGCAATCTTCACATCCTCAGTGAGTCCTGCAGTACGAGCCTTATTCTCCTTGTCTCTCCTCTCAAAGCAAATATGTTTGTGTGAACTTCGAGAAACGAAGTCTCTTGGTTACGCCTCTCTAATGGCTTTGTATGAGCCACGGTGGCGCAGTGGTTAGAGCGCAGTACTGCAGGCTACTTCTGCTGACTACCGGCTGCCTGCAATTTGGCAGGTCGAATCTCACCACAAGGTTGACTCAGCTTTCCATCCTTCCAAGGTGGGTAACATGAGGACCCAGATTGTTGTTGAGGGCAATAGGCTGACTCTGTAAACTGCTTAGAGAAGGCTGTAAAGTGGTATATAAGTCTAAGTGCTATTGCTATTGTGTGTGTGTGTGTGCTTTCAAGTTGCGTTGACTCCTGACAACTTCCAGCATCACTCCCTGCAGTTTTCTTGCAAGATTTCAGAAGTGCGTTGCCACTGCCTTCTGGATAGGGCTGCGGGAGAATAACTGGCCTGAAGTCATCCAGCTAGCTCTGTACCTAAAGCTGGACTAGAACTGGTTTCTAGCCTGGTGTCTTAGCAACTGCACCAAACTTGATATTCTGCCCTTTTAAGTCCCGTTGTGCTTAAATGACCTGATATGTCTTAGAATAATGTCTTTTTCCTATTATACAAGCTACTTGCGTTAACTGAGAGGGTTTCAAATTCCTGTCTGTTACATTGGTCATTAGATCCTTAAAAGAAAAAAAACTTTTTAATCCCACCTTTATTTTTTAATATATAAATAATTCAAAGTGGTGAACATACCTAATACTCCTTCCTCCTCCTATTTTCCCCACAACACTCCTGTGAGGTGGGTTGGGGGGAGAGAGAGGGCGAGAGAGAGAGACAGAAAGAGAGGGAAAAAGGGGGGGAGAGGGAGAGGAAGGGAGAGGAAGAGGAAGACAAAGAGAGAGAGGGAGGGACAGGGGAACAGAGAGAGAGAGGAAGGGAGAGGGAGAGGAGGAGAAGGAGACGGAGAGGGAGGGAGAGAGGGAGAAAGGGAGGGAGAGAGGGACAGGGAGAGGGAGAGGAAGGGAAAGGGAGACAGAGAGAGAGGGAGGGAGAGGGGGAGGTGGAGAGAGAGAGAGAGAGAGAGAAACTCACCCCAAGATACTCAACCAGCTTAATGCCTAAGGTGGGTCAAATTCACTCCACGAGTTAGCTTGGATGAAAGGAATTGAAGCTTTCTCTGGCCCCTATTGAAAACGATGGTCTACTCTAGATCCACAGTCTGGATGATTTTATACCTTACCAAAATAGTTCTAGATTGAGAGAGAGAGAGGAGAAGTCCGTGTAAACGGTTTCTTTTCTGTATTTCCGGCAGTGAAATGAGCCTAAATTAATTGCATCAGTTTAAGCTTCCACTTCCAGTAACTGCCACCCCGGATGGATGCTAGGATTCTGTTTTGTTTTTTTTTTTTCTTCTTAAAGTAAAATTACCTCCATCATCAAGATTGGGTTCCTTGTGCTGGAACCCAGAGGAAGCTATGAGAGGGAAGAGATTTTTAACTCTGAAAGGAATTAGAGCATACACAGAGTGTACCTAACTCAGCTTTTGATATTCCATGCTGCTGAGAGAAGCTCCAGTGTGACTTAATACTCTATCTGCCAAGTTAGCCTTGCTTGTAACTTAAAATGTGTATTCTCAGCAACCTAATGTGAGGTAGCGCCCGTTAACAAAACCCTGGGCTATATTTATTTATTTATTTATTTATTTATTTATTTATTTATTTATTTATTTATTTATTTATTTATTTATTGGTTCGATTTATATGCCGCCCTTCTCCGGAGACTCAGGGCGGCTTACAATGCATTAAGGAAAAGCCTTCATACTTTTGTATATACCTGCTTAGTAGGGCTTTCGCCCCCCACCCAAACGGTGTTCTTTTTTATACAAAGTTAGCTTATTACCCCCACAATCCGGGTCCTCATTTTACCTACCTCGGAAGGATGGAAGGCTGAGTCAACCTTGAGCCTGGTGAGATTTGAACTTGCAGTAATTGCAGGCAGCTGGTGTTACTCAACAGTGCTTTAGTCTGCTGCACCACCAAGGCTATTCTATATGCCAAAAAATGTATTCTTTTCCTCCTTTCTGAGGTCCATCGTTTTCAGAGTGCTAAGAAAATCATGAGGTTTGCATAAACCATGGATATGAAACAGAGGTGGGTTTCAGTAGGTTCTGATCAGTTCTGGAGAACCGGTAGTGGAAATTTTGAATAGTTCGGAGAACCGGTAGTAAAAATTCTGACTGGCCCCGCCCCCATCTATTCTCTGCCTCCCAGCTGATCGGGAGGAAATGGGGATTTTGCAGGAACCTTGCCCTGCCACGCCCACCAAGTCACGCCCACCAAGCCATGCCATGCCCACCAAGCCACACCCACAGAACCAGTAGTAAAAAATTCTGAAACCCACCACTGATATGAAATAATGTTTCTATAGCAATGACGACCTAGGCAAGCAATGTGTGTCGGCTATAAAAAAAGAAAAAAGCTTTAGTTAGTGCGTGCGCCTGCTTTTCTCTCTGCCTGCTCTGTTTAAGGTGGGAGATAAAAAGGTCGCCCACTTTTTGCTTCCGGTTCAGAAAAATAAAGCTGATTATCAGTTGCCTCGACTTCAGAGTTTCATTGGATTTATCAGGTTCTGAGCTGCACTCCAAAACCTTACAACTCAATTTTTTTTTTATTTTGCAACAGTAATTTTTTTTTTTTTTTTACTATTGCAAAAAGTAGTAAGGTCCCTCTCCTGTGTAGGCCCTGTGTTCAGTGATGAAATTCAGTTTTTTTTTACTACTGGTTCTGTGGGCATGGTGTGGCTTGGTGGGCCTGGCTTGGTGGACGTGACAGCGGAAGGATACTGCAAAATCTCCATTCTCACCCCATTCCAGAGGAAGGATACTGCAAAATCTCCATTCCCACCCCACTCCAGGGGAAGGATACTGCAAAATCTCCATTCCCACCCCACTCCAGAGGAAGGATACTGCAAAATCTCCATTCCCACCCCACTCTGGGGCCAGCCGGAGATGGCATTTGTTGATTCTCTGAACTACTTAAAATTTCCGCTACCGGTTCTCCAGAACCTGTCAGAACCTGCTGGATTTCACCCCTGCTTGTGCTGCATTTGAACATACGTCTCTCTCTCTCTCTCTCTTATGTTTTATACTCCTCTTTCTCACGTGTTTTTAAAACCCCAGTCTGTTGGGGGATTGGTGTGCGAACATCTGGCTTAGGTGTTTCTATCTGCCATCACTGTGGCGAATGGCAGGAACTGAAAACTAGCATATGTGTTTGATTTTGGATACATTTCACATTTCAAAGACTTGTCTGGGCTGGTATCCAAGAAGCAGGAAGTTTGTGTCTTGAACGGGTGGTAAAGAGCCAAAGTCGAAGTAAGTTGTTGGGGGGGGGGGGGGGAAGGGGGAAATCAAAAGATTTTCTTCATTGTAGCAGAAGACGCAGCTTGGAATTCAGAAGGTGCTGGCTTTGGCTGCTTGTCAGCCAAAGGCCCTGAATGGAGGATTTAGTTCAGGGGTAGGATTGAAAAATGTTAGCAACTGGTTCTCTGCCTGTTTGCTGGGTAGGTGTGGCCATGGGGGTGTGGCCTACTCAGCCTCCTGCATCATGGCGGGGGGGCGTTTTTGCCCTCCCCAGGCTCTGGAGGCTTTTGTCGAGCCTCTGGGAGGGCGAAAACGGCCTCCCCTGGGCTCCGGAGGTTCTCCAGAGGCCAGAAATGGGCCCGTTTCCGGACTTACGGAACTTCCGGGAGGCCTGTTTTTCACCCTCCCAGAGCCTCCGCGTGGGCCCTGCACTTATCTCGCATCCAAAATGGGCCACGTGGAGACTCCTGAAAGGGGCGGGGCAGGGTGGGCGTGGCCAGCCAGTCCTTGCAACTACCAGTTCGGCAAACCAGATGTAAAAGTAGCATCCGGTTCGCATGAACCAGTCCGAACCGGCTGAATCCCACCCTTGACTTTGTTGACTAGGGATAAGAGATGAAACTGTCTCAGTAGGACATCTAGATAGTTTACTGTAACAATCGGACTTTCAACCTTGAAATGAATGAGTTTCTACCACTCTATTGAGATGCCAGATAGACTGTAGAACAGAGACACACGATCTAAAGATTTAACATACTGGGGGTGTGGGGGTGTGTGTGTGGAGGCAATCAAACAAAGAGGAAGGAGGGTCAGAATGAAATATTTTCCATGCCATTTGAAAGCTGCACCGGCAAGGAAATTTTGGATATAAATTCATATGTGGTTAGGAAAAAAATGACCAGACAACATACAGAGTTTAAGCCAGAATTATTTTTATTAGGCATTATATCAGATGGTTATAATAAAGGGATGACAATATACCTAATATTACACATCTTGACCGCAGCAAGAATTGTGTATGCGCAGCAGTGGAAGTGCGAAAACACTCCCTCAGAGGAGGAGACGATAAGGAAGATACTGGTATGTGCAGAAATGGACAGACCTAACGCTAATTATAAAACATAAAGGAGATACAGAATATTATGCTACATGGGATACACGAGGTAGAAGTTGGAATGCGAAAGAATCAGGTTAGGTGGACATGGAAAGAGACACTATGTATGTATTAGAACGTAGATATTAGAATGATAGATAAGCTGGACATTCTAGAATATGATGGTCAGAAATAACTGTACAAACTAGCACTGTTTAAAATAACATATATGTTATTTTACTTTTGTTTCATGGCAAGTGGAACGCCAGGACAACTGCACTGTATCCAATATATTAATATGTGAACAATAAAAATATATTTTAAAAAAACAATAAAAGAAAAGAAAGAAAGAAAGAAAGAAAGAAAGGAAAGAAAGAAAGAAAGAAAGAAAGAAAGAAAGAAAGAAAGAAAGAAAGAAAGCTACACCGATGTGAGTCTTCTGTCAACATTTAGGGCATCCTTAATGTCCAACTTTTATTTGACTTGTTCAAATAAAAAGAAAATCAAAATATCTCCAAATGACCATACTGGGGAAAGGAAATGGAGTGCCAAACTTAACTTGTCTCTCGGTGAACAGTCAGAAATGTTTTCTTCAATAGGCACTAAGGAGGAAAAGCTTCATCGGCAGAAGAGCCAGGAGGAAAACTTCAAGAGAAGAAGAGCTGCTATCACTCTTGGCTTCTTGGCAGGTTACATCCTGGATCGCAGAATTTCCAATAAGTGGCCCTGGGTAGGTTTTTAATATATTACAGATGGATTCTGTGGTACATCCTTTTACGGGTTTCTTTGGGTCATCTAGAAAAGAAAATCAAAAGTCAGTCAGTTAGATAAATGTAGCACAAATTCCATCTGACTATTTTGTATTGTTAATCCAAATGTTTGCATTCAAAATCATTTACCCATGGTAGCCAACTTGGAGGTGGAAAAATGAAGGAAGGGAAGGGAAGAAAAAGATAGCCTTAGAATAGAATAACAGAGTTGGAAGGGATCTTGGAGGTCTTCTAGTCCAACCCCCTGCTTAGGCAGGAAACCCTACACCACTTCAGACAAACGGTTATCCAATCTCTTCTTTAAAAACTTCCAGTGTTGTAGCATTTACAACTTCTGGAGGCAAGTTGTTCCACTGATTAATTGTTCTAACTGTCAGGAAATTTCTCCTCAGTTTTAAGTTGGCTCTCTCCTTGATTAGTTTCCATCCATTGCTTCTTGTCCTACTACCCTGTGGTGCTTTGGAGAATAGCTTGACTCCCTCTTCTTGTCAGGAAATTTGGAAGGAAGGAAGGAAGGAAGGAAGGAAGGAAGGAAGGAAGGAAGGAAGGAAGGAAGGAAGGAAGGAAGGAAGGAAGGCATTTACATTCCAGAAGGATATGGCATTGTCCATTTTTATAATATTTAACATCAACACATCAAATTCTAGGAGATCTAATGGTTCATCATTAAAAAAAAATGTCATAATCAACATCATGTTTTACTTATTTTTGAGCTCTGATCATTCCCAGTCTTTGTGGCTAAAATCAAGAATAACTTCAGAGAAGAGGAGGGGAGCGGGGGTTCTATCAGAATTACAGTACAAATACCTTTAATAGTAGCTTCAAAACAATATATTGCAGATCCAGTACATTTCAGAGGAACATCATCTGAACAGTGACCTGTCTCTAAAGAGCAGACTGGACAATGTTTCCCGTTGATAGTGGTGTTTAGTGGAAGCACTGCAAAGCGAAACAGAGGCAGGAAGCTGAGACAGGTTACTACGGACACGCTTTATAGAGTTCACACAAACAGCTACACGGTTCAGAGACTTCGTATTAATGAATGAATGTTAATTAATTGACAACCTGGTCAAATCACAGTGAAAATATGTGAAAATATCTACAGACACCCCCCCCTCACACTGACAGGAAAAGACACTAGAATATAAACAGAATATAAAATAGAATATAAAAATATAACAGCAAACCCCACTTCTTTACAAGCCCTGATGATGTTACCTAGAGTAATGAAACGTCTCCAAGAAAACAAACAAGCTAAGAGAGCACTAAGGACTCCTCAGAAAATACTTCCCAATGATTAGTCCCATCCAAGTCTTAACCAGGCCTAACTCTGCTTAGCTTCAGACCCAAATGAAGTTACCCAATGTGTTGTCTCCTATTGAAGGCAAGCTATTAATAAAACAGGTGTATAGAACACCGTAGGCCAGGGGTGGGCAACTGTGGCCCTTTTACAACCTGTAAAGCCTGTTTACAACCTGTAAAAGCTTGGCTGTCTCAGAAATTCCGGGAGTTGAAGTCCACAGGTTGTAAAAGGGCCACAGTTGCCCACCCCTGCCATAGACCCTTAATTCTTAACCACAATGGGACCACAATGATAACTCTGTGTCTTCTTGCAAGATCCGTGCTTTTTGAGTTGCACAGTTTTGACACACTTGTGTGTGAGTTGCACACACACACACTTGGAAGGCACTGCAGATTCCAAGAATTCTGATAATTTCCAGACAGGATTCAGAAGTGCAGGCTATCAGTGGCTGACCAACAAGGAGATGAATAGTTGTCTCCCACACCTATTCATCTCCACCCCCTGCTTCGCTAGCAGCGGTGGCTCTTCTGTCCCAAGGACCAGCCCATGGATTTCCACTGCTCTCCTCTCTTCTGCCTTCTGCGCATCCGCGCGTCAAGAACTGGACCCAGCTGTTCCTCCTCTTCCTCATCAGCCACCTCCAGACTTGGGGGCTGTTGCCTCTTCATTTTAGGACTGATGGAAGACCCAGGCTCTGCCTCTGTCTCTATATCTGACAGCTCCACTCCCTCTTCCCTCTCTCAGGTTGCCTTGATGCTGGCCCTGACTCCCACGCCTCCTCCTCCTCCTCCTCCTCTGATTCAGCTGCTAGAGAGGCCGGCGGCCGACAGGCCACAACACTTAACAACTGCAGTGATTCACTTGACAACCGTGGCAAGAAAGGTCGTAAAACGGGGCAAACCTCAATTTAACAGCCATCTCACTTAGCCGCAGAAACGTTGGGCTCAATTGCGGTCGTAAGTCGAGGACTACCTGTAATCATGGCCAAAAGGTTTTTGTTTTTTTAACATTTGTATTCCAGATCCACCTCCCACACTCTTGAGAACACAGCCAGTGTTGCTGAAGTTGACACACGGGGCAAAAAAAAAAAAAGGAGAAGACCTACTTTTTGTAGAGGGAGGGGTGCAGCCGTCAGTTTTGCAGCAATCGTACTGTTTTCTTACGTAAATTCCTTTCCCGTAAGACAGCTCGATAAACTGATTCTTGCAGTGGGTAAGGGGTGCACAAGACAGGATTATGTTGGTTTGTGTTTTTTCATCTGCAAAAATGGAAGGAGATGAGTATCTGCCCTGCAAGGCAGACCAGACCAATAAACATATTCTCATGCAACACTTCTTATTATTATTATTATGCCCTCTCCATCATCAGACATTGGCGATCATGTTGGCGATCCTATTTTTATAAGTAGCCGCACGAAAATGTGCTACTGAGTTTTGTCCAAACCAGTCCCTTCGATTTTGAAGCCATGATGTTCTTCTTCTTGTCTGGACCTCGTTCGCCTTCAATCTTTCCTTGGAGGATTACCGTATTTTTCAGAGTATAAGACACACCTTTTTCCCACCCCCAAAAAAAGGGTGAAAATCTGGGTGCATTTTATACTCTGGATGTAGCCCTGCCCAGCTTCTCAAACGGAGGTTTCAGAGGCTGAAAAAAGCATCAGAAAAGAAGCTTCAGAAAAGAAGCCCCCAAACAGAGCTTCAGAGGCTTTTTTTTTTCTGAAGCTCCATTTCGGAGGCTTTCAGAGGCAGGAAAAAAAGTTTTTTCTGAAACGGAGTTTGAGAAGTTTCAGAGGCAGGAAAAAAAAGCAAGGCACAGAGCTCACAACCAAGGAACCTGTTGCTAAAATTCACCTCTGGGAACAACTGATTAGGCCGATCCACCTGCCAATCAGCTTTTTTCTTATTTTCCTCCCCAAAAACTAAGGTGCGTTTTATACTCCGGTGCGTCTTATACTCTGAAAAATACGGTAATTGAAGTTGGCCTTATTTTTCCGGGTGTCGCATCACATGTCCAAAAATATTCTAACTTTCGCTTTTTAATGGGTTTGATGATTTCCCTTGGCTTTCCCAGGCAGCTTACTGTATCACCTCCTCATTTCTGATTTTGTCAACCCAGCTTATACGTAACAGCTGCCTGTAAATCCGCATTTCAAAGGCTCATGCAAGACTAAACATTACTTTTGTTTAGATTGGCTGCAATGGCAATTTTTTTTTCAACCCTGTTTGTGTTTCTTTCCTCCCTCTGTTATATTCCCCTGACTTAGAGGAGTGTCTGTTTGAGATCGTTTCATAATCTTAGGTGGATTCAAGCATTGTTTTCCCTTTTGGCTACCTGGGGGGACAAAGCATTCTTGTCTCCATCAAGGTCATTCTCTTTATTCAACATTTGCTCTCACGGGGCGAGGGAAGGGACTTGGAGAGCTGTACCTTTAGTACATAGAATAATAGAGTTGAAAAGGACTTCAGGTAGCATTTATTACTACCGGTTCGGGCGAACCGGTCCAAACCGGTAGCATTTCACCCCTGCTCCATACCATTCTGGATAAATAGTTGTCCACCCCCAACTTTTGGAGGTAAGCCATTCGACTACTTTCTATTGATTCTTTGTGTGACAGAACAAGGGGAAATCACATTGCAAACATTGGGTGGGGCATAAACAAAGGAAGAGGGAGGGGAACTAAATTTAATTTCATTCAAGTGGCAAGAATGGAGCTACAGGAAGTCAATTCCATTAATGCAATCACTCCCAGGGCATTTAATGGCTTTCCTGGTTTAAAAACTGCCATCCGGGGCATCTTTAAAAAAAGCATTTATGGATGTATAAATGTATGAGTTCCTTATTTGTTCAAATTATGCATCTTGGATTTACGTCAGGAGTGCTATTCAGCAGGTTCTGACAGGTTCTGGAGAACCGGTGGCAGAAATTTTGAGTAGTTCAGAGAACCGGCAAATACCACCTCTACCTGGCCCCAGAGTGGGATGGGAATGGAGATTTTGCAATATCCTTCCCCCAGGAGTGGGGAGGGAATGGGGATTTTGCCACACCCACCAAGCTACACCCACCAAGCAACATTCACAAAGCCGGTAGTAAAAAAATTTGAATTCCACTACTGATTTACGGTATTACTTTAGAATCCAGAACCTGTTAATTTTTCCTGTGTCCATTGAACCCCAAATTCCTTTTGGTTTCTGGTAAAAAGAAATATCTATCTAGTTAATAGTCTATATTAATTAATGGGCAATGAACAATCCTCTTAAAAAAAGGTTTGTACTGCCATGCTTAAATTCCACCAGGGGGATAAGTTCATAAAATCCATATTTAAAACAAACAAAAAAATTGTATTCTTTAATATTATTTTTTAAAAAAATTTGCCATGGGTGTGGAAGTTACGATTACTGATATGGTCAAAATATTCATTAAAAGGAATAAAACTTTTAATGCATTGTTCATTCCAGGAACATTGATTATCCTTGGAACATACAATGTTGTGATGGAATAATTTGGCTTTGAAAAAGCTTGAACAAAGTGCCTTAATAGCAATTGGCACTAGGCGACAATCATTGTCTCCATTAAGAGAATTTAAAAATTAATCACAATTTTTGTCCTGCCTTTATTACTTTATAAGTAACTCAAGATGGCCAACATGCATAATACTCCTTCCTCCTCCTCTTTTTCCTCCCATCACATCCCTGTAAGGTGGGTTGGGCTGAGAGAGGGACTGGCCTAACCACCCTGCCAGCTTTCATGCCTAAGGCAGGACTAGAACTCACAATTTCCCAGTGATTGACTCATAGTCATCTAACCAGTTTTCATAGCTAAGGTGGGACTAGAACTCACAGTCTCCTGGTGATCGACCCAAAGGCACCTAGCTGGCTTTCATGCCTAAGATAGGACTAGGACTCACAGTCTCCTGGTAACTGGCCCAAAATCACCCAGCCAGTTTTCATGGCTAAGGCAGGACTAGAACTCACAATCTCCTGGTGACTGGCTTGGCCATCCAATCAGCTTTCATGCCTAAAACAGGATCAGCACTCACAGTCTCCTAGTGATTGGCCCAAAATCACCCAGCCAGCTTTCATGGCTAAGGCAGGACTAGAACTCACCATCTCCTGGTAATTGGCCCAAAGTCTTTCAGCCAGCTTTCATAACTAAGGTGGAACTAGAACTCACAGTCTCCTGGTTTCTAGCCTGACGCCTTAACCACTACACCAAACTGGCTGCTGAATCTTAATTGACATCTTCAATATTCAATCTTAAATCTGAGCAATCGTCTATTGTAAGCGCCCCATGTACAGAAACATAGCTAAAATGGCCATCGGTGTTTTCTGGATATCAACCCAATTTGGTCAACCCAATTCAGTGAGAATGTTTTTGATCAGCGACATGGCCTTTGTCAAGTTAACAGTGGTTGCCACCCACCTTTGACGATTTCGGTCAGGCTCCTCAGACAGGAATTTTCACCTTGGTTACAGTTCTTTAATGAGTCCGTGCAGGTTGAAGCTCCCTCCTTCTGACAGTTGATACATTGGAAAGTTGCACCTGGAAGAGAAAAACGCAGCGTAGATCAGGGGTGTCAAACTCGATTTCATTGAAGGTGGCATCAGGGTTATGTTTAACCTCAGGGGGCTGGGGTGGGCGTGGCTGGGGTGGGCGTGGTGGGAGTGGCCAGATCAACGTCATGTCAGAGGGGGCACCTGTGGTGGCCAAGTGCTAAGGCAGGACTTCTCTCTGACCCTTCCTCCTTCTCATTATAATCTTCTTTCCTTCCTTCCTTCCTTCCTTCCTTCCTTCCTTCCTTCCTTCCTTCCTTCCTTCCTTCCTTTTCTTCTTTTTCCTTCCCTCTTTCTTCTCCTTTCTTCTTCCTTCCCCTCTTTCTTTATTTTTCCTTCCTTGCTCTCTTCCCATCTTTCCTTCTTTTTCCTTGTCTTTCCTCTTTTCCTTTTTCCTTTCCTGTCCCTTCTTGCATGCTGAAATGCAAAAGGGGAAACATTTCTCCTTTGGTTCTGTGTTTAGTTCATTTTCCTAGCCCTCTGAATGGGCCAATGAAAATGGAGCTCGGGGCGGCTGCGCACGGGCCTCCCAAGCTCCGTTTTCGTTGGCAGAGGCACCGCAGGCTGGTCGTTTGCTGTCTCCAGGGTGGACCTGCAGGCCCAATCTAAGCACCCAACAGGCCAGATCTGGCTTGCCGGCCTTGACTTTGACACGCCTGGCATAGACTGTGAACCAGAGAAGACCCGCTGAAGACCACAAGCTTGCTAACAGAAATGGTGCCAGGCAGAGATTTATCTGCTTATTCTACCCATGCTCCTTCCAATTTAATGAATGAGAATGAGTTTTGGAAATACATCAGTGGTGAGTTCCTCCCGGTTCCACCGAGCCGGTAGCGGTGACAATATGATGTCACTGAACCGGTTCTGCCCCCCCCGCCCTCCGCATTATTCTTACCTTTTATTTGGCCTCACCCCCAATCTATTGCTGCCTCCTGAGTCCCAGCTGATGGGCTAGAAGGAAAAAAACCTGTTTAAATTCTTGCTGCGGGGCTTCAAAGGGCCGCCCTACAGCTGATCAGTGTTAAAAGGCAGTGTGGTGGTAGATCGGTGCCTCCAAAAACAAATGAGTGGACCTGCCTGCAAAAATAAATGGGTAGACCAGTGCCTCCAAAAAGAAATGGGTAGACCGGTGCCTCCAAAAAGAAATGAGTAGACCGGTACAGCTCTGCAAGCAGTTAAAAGCCTGATAGACCAGTACCTCTGCTAAATCCTAAAGAATTGTCACGACCATCAAGCCACGCCCACAAAATAAGCCACGCCCACAGAACTGGTAGTAAAAACATTTAGAACCCGCCCCTGAAATACATGTAGTAAAGGAAAGGGGAAAAAATATATCAGGAATGGAGAAGGGTGTGGCTAACTAACTTCGTACCTGTTCTTAGAAGCACAGTGAAGAGGAAATATCCCAGAAGAATTTGCATGATGAAACAGGTGCCTTGGGCAAATATTTTTCTCTCACTATCCTGAAGAACCTGAAAATATTTTTGTTTTTTTTTTAAAAAAAAGGATTAGGACTCCTGCCACCAGGTATCAGACCTTTTCTTGCCAAGAGATGGGTTAAATGGCCTCGCTAAAAGCTATCACTTTGTTTGACGTCTATGGAGCTTCTCAACCATCCAGGTCATGGTTGTCCCAAAAAGTGCTTTTTCCAAAAGGCAACTGGACTTTCTTGGTTTATCTCCTGTCAAAATGCTTTGCTTCTCATCCAAGAAGCTTCTTCGGTTCTAAGTAATTGATGGGGAAGGGAAGGATTTGCAAAGACTGTAAATCCTTCCGTTCCCCACCAGTTAGTTAGAATTGGAAAAAAGAAAAAACGTCTTGGATGGGAAGCTAAACATTTTCAAAGGACGAAACCGAGAGAGTCCAATGGCCTTTTGGAAAAAAGCACCTTTGGGATATCAGTTTGCTTCTCATAGAAGTTAAGTTACCTGGAATTTTGGGGTTTCCCACGTTTGGTAGAAATCTTTGCGTGTAGCACAAAGATTTCTAATCTCCCCATTCTTATGTGTGCGGTAGAGGGCAGGGGTGAAATGCTCCCAGTTTGGACTGGATCGCGATGGCAGTGGGTGGTTCGGAGAACCAGTAGCAAAAATCCCTGCGCCCCCCCCTGCCCATCAGAGGCTGTTATTTTAACTTTTAAAAGCATTTTTTCTACAACCTCTTCGGCCGAAAAATGCTTTTAACGTTAAAAAAAAAAAGCCTCGGATGATCGCGCAGCTCAGCTGGGATCGTCAGAGGCTTTTAAAAGCATTTTTTTTACAACCTCTTCAGCCGAAGAGGTTGTAGAAAAAAAATGCTTTTAAAAGCCTCTGACGATCCCAGCTGAGTTCCTTGATTGTCAGAGGCTTCTAAAAGCATTTTTTTTTTGCAAGCTCTTAAGGTTGTAGAAAAAAGGATCGTCAAAGGCTTTTAAAAGCATTTTTTTTCCTACAACCTCTTCGGCTGTAGAAAAAAAAAATGCTTTTAAAAGCCTCTGATGATCCCAGCTGAGTTGCTTGATCGTCAGAGGCTTCTAAAAGCATTTTTTTTTTGCAAGCACTTAAGGTTGTAGAAAAAAATGCTTTTAAAAGTTAAAAAAAAAAGTTGGCCACGCCCACCCAGTCACATTACCCCACCACCACTACCAAGCCACACCCACAGAACCGGTAGTAACAAATTTTAGATTTCACCCCTGGTAGAGAGGGAGGCATTTCAAGCACATTCTACATAAGGAATATCTTTGACCCGTTGAGTGTGCTAAACTGCTTAAGGATTTCCTTTATTTGCTGGTTTAAGAAAACTGCATCCACAGAAACAATGGTCCACAGCACTGGATGAGCAGGGGTTCATAACCTCTGGGCCATGGGCCACTACCAGGCTGTGAGCTGTTCGGAACTGGGCTATGGAAGCCACACGTGTGTGTGTATATGTGCCCATCAAATCCTCCCCTATTCAATACTTAGATTGAATAGCCAAGAAATAGATGCAGACAGAGATAAAGATCCAAGAGAGGAATATGGGAGGCAAATAATCATCATCATCATCATCATCATCATCATCATCATCATCATCATCATAGCAATTAAAGCACTGAAGCGGGCAAGAGACAATGGATAGAAAGGAAATCTTTTTTGTTCTTGTTCTGATTTGCTTTTCTTTTTCTCTCTCCTTCTCTTCCTTTTTAGGTAGGTGACATGATTAGAAGTTAGGTAGGATAGAAAGAAACCATGTTTTAATAAAAGGGTGACTTGATTAAAAGTTAGAATAAGAGATAAAAATAAGAGAAAGGGGGGATATTAGTGTATACACTTTCACATAATAAAAGTAAGAAGAAGAGAAAACATGGAATAATTAAATAACGATAGACTATAACGTAATATAAATGTGAATTATTAGTAGAAATATGTAAGTTGGTTGAATGTAAGAACTATGATTAATTCTGCTAGTTTTATTTGTATTAGAATGTATGACATTCAGGCTGCCACACTGTTCACACATTAATACATATATGTAAAACAAAATAAAAAACTTGAAACAACAACAACAAAAAAAAGAAAACATCCCTTCTCCCCCCTCCTTGCCAACCCGCAAAGCCAAAAAGATTGGGGAACTTTGCTCTATCATAAATGTTTGACATCGACTACTCTCACTTTAGCACTTCCTTAGTCAAACCGTTCTCTCCAGCTACTCTGCAGTTTAACTGTCAATTAGGTAGCTCAGTCTTCTCCCTTCTCCCTTGAGCTTCTGCCTGGGGAATTCTGGGAGTTGAAGTCCACACCTCTTTAAGTGGCCAAGTTTGAAACACGTTGGTATTTATTCTTTGGCAGAGCCACAGAAACCTATTTTAAAAGGAAAGGGGACACTCTTGTCATTCTTACAACACTTGTAAGTGTACAACTTCTTGCTTGTACACTTCTGCTTTGGGTAGGGGATACTTCAGCCATGAGGAGAGCCAGTGGCGATGAATTTTGAGCTTGCGGTGAATTTTGTCCGTGTCACCTAATCCGTCCCTTCCTTGCCATCTTTTACACCAGTGTGTTCCTTAATCTTGAGAAACCTCAGGAGTGGCTTGGAAAATACACACCTCTTCAAGTTGTCAAGGTTGAGAAACATTGTTTGACGTGCACTCTCCATCTGACATACTGTCGTGTTAAAAATGTGGATGGATAGATAGAAAGATAATAGATAGATAGATAGATAGATAGATAGATAGATAGATAGATAGATAGACAGACAGACAGACAGACACATACATACATACATACATACATACATACATACATACATACATACATATGATATGATAATACAGACAGATAATAGAGACAGAAAGAGGAGAGAGAGAGACAGAGAGACAGAGAGATAGGAAGGAAGGAAAGAAAGATTAGATAGGAGAGGGTGCGAGAGAGGGAGGGAATGAGAGAGTAAGAGAAATAGATTAGAAAGATAAAAAGATTAGAGAGAGACAGAAAGAGACAGAGACAAAGACAAAGAGAGATAGGAAGGAAGGAAGGAAGGAAGGAAGGAAGGAAGGAAGGAAGGAAGGAAGGAAGGAAGGAAGGAAGGATTAGATAGGAGAGGGTGCGAGAGAGGGAGGGAATGAGAGAGTAAGAGAGACAAATTAGATAGAAAGACTAGTGGGAGGGAGGGAGGGAGGGAGAGAGGGAGAGATAAATTAAACAGAAAGAGACAGACAGACATCTGGCTGGGGAGAGAGAGAGAAGCTTTAGTTTCATAATTTTGGCAGCAAATGGAGCTGGGACCGCTTGCCGCAGACCTCACCAGAAATAAAAAGTCAAAAAGAAAAGCGATGGTCCCCCCCCAGCCGAAGCCTTGGCATGCTTGGAAGTAAGCCCAGCCAGGACTTGCCCAGTGGAAAGACGGGCTATCTCCCAGATGGAAAGCAATTCCTACCTGAAATCCTCTCCGTCAGTTCCAGAAACCAGAAGCCGAAAGGAGAACCGTCTGCTTTCTGCAGCCAAGCCGTTCTGCGGCAATCAGTTAAGGAACTGGGTGGAGTACGTTTAAGGCAAGGTCTGCTTTCTGCTGGGCCAATGGCCACCGTGGGTTGCTCGCTGCTTACTGCATGCCAGGGAGGATGTGCGCAACAAGGAGCAATTGAATTAAAGGGACGGTTCCGATTGTAGGAGCTTAGGACCCAACCTATTTGCAAGGATCTCCAAAGGACCAATTATTGTACGCAATGACGAAGCAACTAGGTGGCTATATATAGTAGCAGAGTTCTAGCTAAATACTAAGGGAAGTAAGATTTTTCCAAACCCCGCTGTTTCTTTTTTTATCACATTTACAGCACAGCTTAGGAATGTTTACAGTTCTTTTGTGATTCACTTGGCTGTCACTAGACAAAGGCTAATATTTTCTCCTCTTTTTAAACCTGTTTGCTAATGCCCGAACCACCTGGTGTTTGCCTGCCAAAATCTATTCTTCTCTTTCCTGGAAACTCTTTGTGCATTTCTCTTGTGTCCACAGACTTCTTCCTTGTTCCGACTCCGTAGGAGACTTGCAATGAAGCCACGCCAGAAAGCTGCTTTTAAGGCTAAACCGAGTTCTTCTTTGTACGGTTCAAACCCCTAGTATAGGTTTCCTGCGTGAGCCAGGGTTTGGACTAGATGACCTCCAAGATCCCTTCCAACTCTGTTACTGTAGGCCAAGTAGAAATTTGCCTAGTTTTTACTGGCTTATGAAGAAATAATCAGTGGCTTTTTTAAGCGATGAATTTGTTCTGACCCAGCTCCTCAAACACGACAAACCCTCTGTAGTTAAAGCAATAATTCCTTTATTAGGAGTGCCAGCAGCCCCGGCAAAAAGTTTCTCTTTCACCTCAGGCTAACAAGGCAGGGGAGATGAATAGTTGTCTGCCACATCTATTCATCTCCGTCCCATGCCTTTTATCCCCAGACCTAGGATGGGGCTTTGCTGGCTGTGGTCCAAGGTCCAGCCCATGGATTTCCACTGCTCTCCTCTCCTCCACCTTCTGCACATCCGTGCATCAAACACTGGGCCCAGTTGGGTCCTCCTCTTCCTCATCAGCCATCTCCGGACTCTCCATCTGAGGCAGGGGTGAAATGCTCCCGGTTCGGACCGGATCGCCCTATCCGGTAGCGATGCTGTGGGTGGTTCAGAGAACCGGTAGCAAAAATCCCTGCCCCCCACCCCATATGCCCAGCTGAGCCGCACAATCAAATTTTTTTAATTTTTAAAAGCATTTTTTCTACAATCTCTTCAGCCGAAAAAATGCTTTTAAAAGTTAAAAAAAAAAAAGCCTTTGATGATCGCGCGGCTCAGCTGGGATTGTCAGAGGCTTTTAAAAGCATTTTTTTCTGCAACCTCGAAGAGGTTGTAGAAAAAAATGGCTTTAAAAGTTAAAAAAAAAAAAGTTGGCCACACCCACTCAGTCACATTAACACCCCCCCACCAAGCCACGCCCACAGAACTGGTAGTAACAAATTTTACATTTCACCACTGATCTGAGGGCTGACGGACGGCCCAGGCTCTGCCTCTGTCTCTGTCTCTCTCTCTCTCTGACAGCTCCATTCCCTCTTCCCCCTCGGAGCTCTCAGGTTGCCTTGACACTCCGACGCCTCCTCCTCCTCCTCCTCTGATTCAGCTGTTGGAGGGGCCGGCGGCCGAGAGGCCACAACAGAATTACGTTTCTCCAAAGTTATAATAATAATAAATTTATTTACGGTCACAGACCAAAATGCAAGCATAGCTACAGAAAAACATAGGGAAAAGAACATCACGAACAGCAGGCCACAACAGAATTACGTTTCTCCAAAGTTATGACTTGTGTCTTTGCCTGCTAGGAGTGGCATTTCTGTAACACCTGCCAGTAAGAGCTAGCTCGGTGGGTCGATCATGACCACTCAGAGCCATGTCCTGTAATATTTCGAGTCTTCTTTATCTTTAATTTTTAAAGTTATTCTGTCCGTTTCAGCACAATCCCAAATTTTCCTAATTATGTCATCATCCGGTGGGGTGTTCACATAAATTTTATGAATGGATAGAGATGAGAAGTAGAAATGGGAGGGAAGTTTATGAATGTCAGTACAATAAAGATGTATAAAACTATGGATATAATATGGAAAAATTTGTAAATAAGCTGATGTAAGTAGAAACTTAGTTGAAGATTTATTTTATTTTATTTCCTTTTCTTTCTTTCTTTTTCTTTTTTTCTTTTGGTTGTATTGTTGCAATTACAGTTAACATAGTACAGTTATAGTTATTAGCATGTATGTTATGATTTACCATTGATCTCTCTCTGGCTTTGCTTTATTTGCATAGTTATCCTGACGTGGCACTGTCTTTTCAATAAAATAAAATAAAATTTTAAAAAAACCCGAACACTCAGAGTCATCTTGAAATGAGATAGATGGCAAATGAATTTAATAAACAAAGAAACAAAGGCTCCAAAATATTAATGAGACATCTTGAGCAGATTGTTATATTGTTTTTTTATGATATTTTTCAAAAACCGCTATGAAATATGCAGCTTCAAATTCTCATCAAATTCTCTATTGTTTTGTTATTTAGAATTGTTACAAATAGAACAGAAAAGAAAGAAAAAGAGAAAAATCAACCACCCCCAAACAATAAAGATAAATATTTAATTTTTGAGTTCCCATGAAGATACCTGCAGATAGGGGTATTCCTTTGCCCTTTGGATGATCAAGCACATATTTCAATCAGAGAATTCTTAAACACAAGAAAATTTGTTCTCCTAAAAAAGGCATTGAAACATTATTATTTTTCTCCATCTGTTTCATTTGGATGAAATGCTTGACTGTTTCCTTCAAAGGAGGTTTTGGGAGGTGTCTTTAAACTTCCCCTGGGATTCTGGTTGCTGAAGAAGTTTTGCACGAATATTTTGGGCGTCTTCCACAGCATCGTCAAGAAAGCTGTTCAGAAAATGATACGTGACAAGGTATGAACTCGCTCCACCAAACACAGACCCGATAAGAGGTATGAAATCAAGAGCCATTTCCACCAGCGACACAGCGACCCAGAGAGATGACTTCATCAAGAGAGAAAATACCAATTCTGCATCGACTGCGTTGGCTAATGGGGTTTTCTTGATAGCCGACCTCAGCTCTTCAAATTGTTTTCCCGTCTGTAGTGCCAGAAAACGGAGAGACCGGTCATCTAAGCCAAACACCCTGCAGAAACATCTCAGAGCATCTACCAAAATTCCAATGTCACAAGCAATAGAGAGACCTGGGACAGGCACTGCTCCAAAAGCACAAGATATCAACGCTACCTTCTTTATATAGGATTTCATTAGCTCTTTTTTCCTCATCAATTCATTTTCTGAGAAAATCTGCACAGATAGTGTTAAAATATCTTTCTTGTGGTCAGGAAGTTCAGCAGCTATTCTCTCTTGCAGAAGAGGGAAATCATACATGTGTACCTCCCGACTGGATACCAGAAACACACTTGAGGAAATCCCAGCTGCCTCTTTCAAGCTATCTTCACAATATTGCCTCATGGATACCAAGGTGTCCTCCACATTGAAATTCTTTTTCCACTTTTCATTGTTGATAGTGACATCTATTTTGCTACACACATAGTAAAACTTCTTCTTCATTCTTTGTATTTCCTTTGCCAGCATAATATTGTTTTCAGTAAAACGATCAGAAATAACCATAATAAAGACATCGTATCTTTCAAATTGGACATTCTTCAGATATTTCGCTGCCTTAACCTTATATGTTCCGATCCCTGGAAGGTCCCATATTTTTATATTTGGGAAAGAAGGGTGAGGATATGCCTTTATCACTAAGGTTTCTTTTCCTGGCCCGACCTCGGCTGCCTCCTCATCATCATCACTTACTCCTCGGAAGGCATTGACAAAGGAGGATTTCCCAACACCTGCATCTCCAGTAAGTGCGATATTAAGGGACAGATTTTGTATTTTCTTTAAATGTTTTTGGTATTCTGCTGCCACTTTGGGGACGTTGCCTTTATTCAAATCGCTCTTTAAATCTTCAAATTCTTTCCTTACAAAATCCTTTAGAACTAGATTGCCCATAGTTGCTCTTTGTTCTGTGCAGATTATCTGGAAAGAAAAGAGACATTGGGATGTTTCTCAGCTACTTCGGGCACTTTGAATTTGTGGTTGGAGAAGACCCTTGAGAATACTTTGGACAACCAAGAAAACAAACCAATGGATCATAAAAAGAATCAACCCAGAATTCTCAACAAGGTGCAAAGGTCCAGGTTCAAATTATCCTACTTTGGAAACATGATGAAAAGACCCAGCTCTCTGCTAATGGCTCTGATGCTTGCGAAAGTGGAAGGGAAGATAAGAAGAGGACTGCCAGCAGCCAAAGGGTGAATTCAATTACGGTGGAACTAAGTGCAGCATTAGGACTCGTGAAAGAACAGATTAGGGATAGAAGGTCTTGAAGAAAATTTATGTACTAGGGTCTGAAAATTATTTGATGGCATAAAATCAGTTTACTGGAGAGGGAGGGTGACTTTGGAAAGGAAAGGAAAATGAAGAATTTCATATCTCTCTGCGTGTCCTTCATGTCTACACATCTTTACTTACCAAATCTTGGAAGCCTGGTGTTGATTTCAATCCCTCCCTCCCTCTTGCACCCAAGACAGTTAAGGAAGAATCCGTTTAAGTTTCTTTCTGCTGTTCTTTGCCTCTATGAAGTACTTTCAGACTTGCAAGATTATGTTAATGTAACCTTATTGTAAAGTAGCATAAGCCATCTGATCATGTTTCCTATCTGATCTAAATCCTAAAGGTCCTAAATTTAACCACTGCGCCCTGGTGTCACAGTGGTTAAAGTGCAGCATTGCAGGCAAATTCTGCCCACAGCCTAGAGTTCAATCCTGACTGGGTTCAACGTTGACTCATCCTTCCATCCTTCCAAGATCGGTAAAATGAGGACCCTGTCAGGGTTCCAAGTAATATATCCAAAGGAAACAAAACTCTGAGGCAGGTAAATTCCTCAAAGAATAGGTTTATTGGATATGTCGTATTGGCACAGGCTGCTGCAAACCGACTCTGAGTATTCCCACAGTTTTCACCTAATTAAAAGTTCATCACTTTCTCAAAATAACCAGTCACATGGTCCAATCAGATTACTGTCCACTTGCTAGGTGGCTCCAGTCCCCTTCTTCTGAGCACCTGCAGGAATGTCCTTGGTTCCCAAGAGAAAGTATTTTGTTTTGACTAGAACACCCCAACTTGCCCTACTCCCCACTTCCTATCCCTCGTCTGCAGTGTGTCAGCACTGAAGTCCCAAAATGGCCTCAGTCAGGCCAGCTTCAGGGTTGACAGATCCAGAGTGTTGGGGTCGATATGCAAATAATGCTTCTACGTTGTAAACCACCAAGAGATACAAACAGCTATGAAGCTCCATGAGGTGATCTATAAGCCTAAATGCTCTTGCTATCGCTAAAGCTGAACTCAGTCTTGCAAATCTGAAAGTACTTCACTTCTCCCTCCCCTTTTTGCCAAAAGAACTAGAGAGGGTCCCTCTTGTGCCTCTTGTTCCGTTTACATTCCTACTGCTGGCTAAGTTGCCTTTTATCTGTCTGTCCTTCCTATTGTGTGTTAAGGTCAAGTTGTAATTGTATACTATTACAACTGGTGCCTTTCATAACTGCAACACCAATGTGCCTGGATGAGTTTCCAAATCGGGGGGGGGGGGTGTTATGAAAAGCCAGTCAGGAGAGGGGAAAGCTTTCCAGATGTTCTCCTCCTTAGCCAGACAAAACAAACACACACACCCTTGACACCACTCAAAACCCCTGAGCTCCTCCTCCTCCTCCTCTCCTCCTCCCTCCTCCTCCTCCCCTCCCTCCTCCTCCTCTTCTTCTTCTTCTTCTTCTTCTTCTTCTTCTTCTTCTTCTTCTTCTTCTTCTTCTTCTTCTTCTTCTACTACTACTACTACTACTACTACTACTACTACTACATATTCCATTGCTTTCCTTTCTTATTGATAAAATATCTGCCTGACACAAACATAACCCAATCTATTTGTATGACCGTAATTTTGTTGCTTGTATCCTTACGATTTATATTGATATTGTTTCCTGATTGCTTATTTGTATCCTATGACTATCATTAAGTGTTGTACCTTATGATTCTTGATGAATCATATCTTTTCTTTTATGTACACTGAGAGCATATGCACCAAGACAAATTCCTTGTGTGTCCAATCACACTTGGCCAATAAAAAAATCTGTTCTGTTCTATTCTATTCTATTCTATTCTATTCTATTCTATTCTATTCTATTCTATTCTATTCTATTCTATTCTATTCTATTTACTAACTGCAGTCGACTCCAACCCAAAATCCAGTGTAAACCCAAAGAAGATACCATCAAATGCAGGGTGGTGAGAGAGAAAAGGCTCTACTTCTCTGGCTGATTCCCCAGAACCACCCACAAAAATCTTTGGGTCCAGAAATGAGGAGTCAAGGCTGCATGGATTTCCTTAATCTTCAAGGTTTTTCAGCAGTTCGATGATTCCTAGAAACAGTGTACACATTCCGCAGTAGAAAAGAAATTATATTGAAGGCTCCTTTATAGGAAAGGAGCAAAAACTAAAGAGAGAATAGAATTTTAAAGCAAAGAGTACAGAATCTACCATAGCTAAACCCAGAGAGGGGAAGGATATACCCAAATGCTTACTTGCTTTTATCAAATGAGTAATTCTCAAAGGTCCCTACGCAGGCTGGGGTTGATTTCTTTTCAAAAATTGCCAGACTTCTCGAGTCAAAAGGACGACATCTCTCTTATATACCCTTCAAGTTCCTTGTGCATTGTTTCTTCAAATAGTAAAAATGTTCCGCCCATTTTTCATGACTGAAATCCTGCCTACCCAAATCCGAGTTTCCTACGGGTGCCAACATTAAAAGCACCTGATTTCCAGGAAAAAGAAGCTACCTTTGGATGGCCGTCAGTTTCGGTTCTTTGCAAATACTGTAGCAGACGCTGTAAAACAAACAGTAATTTTCAAACTTGGCAACTTTTCAGGTGGGTGGACTCTTCCACACATAAAATTCCCCAGCCAGGCAGGTTGGAGCATATAAATGCTTATTTTTCTATCAGGAGTCGTTCTCAGAGGGATCAAGGCAAGCTGTGGTTGATCGCTGACCAAAGTCTCCAGACCAGCAGTGGGTTTCACATTTTGTTACTACCGGTTCGCCCCATATGCACACGCTTACTTCGTGCACGCACACGCGCAGTTCACACACGGGCTTGTGTTCCACACATGTACCCAGCCTTCCGCGCATGTGCCCTGCCTAAAAACTTGCCTCAATAGGATGGCATAGAGCCGGGAAGGGTGGGCAGGCCCACCCATGATTTCCACTACCAGTTCGGACGAACCGGGACAAACTGGCTGAATACCACCTCTGTTCCAGATTCCTCAGAGAGGACTGGATCCTATTTATATACAGTCTTTTAAGTGGGCACTTCTTGCAAATAATCAAACGTTCCTCTCATTTCCCATCGCATGCAGTCTTGCCTGTCAGAGTCTCGCACCCAGAGAACCCATTGCCATCTATCCAGAGCTATCCAGGAAAGAGGGAAAGAGGGCAGTAGAACAAGTTCCTTGACTGTAGCACCTCAATTACGAGCAGAAGAATTTCATCCAACGAGCTCAAAGAAAGCATTTTGAAATGTTCAAAATGAAAGGAAAGTCCTGCAGATGAAAAACCTCATTATTCCTTTGTGGGGTAATCACATACAAGAATGGTAGCCAAGAAAATCAAAGGAAGGTTATATGAAAGGGCGGGGGGGGGGTAATCAAATTAAACACGATTTATGCCAACTCCGGTTTCTACTGTGTCCAACTTGACACAGTTCACTCTGGGGTGGAAAGAGGAGAGGCCCTTCCACACCCAATGCTGTTGATTAATCCAGATTGAGTCATCCACCCTTGGGGGAAGAGATATTCTCACCCGCCCAAGGCAAGGAGTACCAGAGAAACTCAATCAATCACTCAATCAGAAAAGAGCTGGGAGGGACCTTGGAGGTCTTCTAGTCCAACCCCCTGCTCAAGCAGGAGAGCTTATACCATTTTGCTTTTAAAAGGCTCTGACGATCCCAGCTGAGTTGCCTGATCATCAGAGGCTTTTTTTTTCCTTTTAAAAGCAAATGCCTCTGATGAACCTCTTCGGCCGAAGAGGGTGTAGAAAAAACTGAGGGAGGGAAGGGGAGAGGATAGGAGGGGCTTCTGTGGGGCAAGACTGAGGGAGAGAAGGAGAGAGCATAGGAGGGGCCTCTGTGGGGCAAGACTGAGGGAGAGAAGGGGAGAGGATAGGAGCGGCTTCTGTGGGGCAAGCCTGAAGGAGAGAAGGGGAGAGGATAGGAGCGGCTTCTGTGGGGCAAGTTAAATATTTAAACAATAATAATATTAGCAAGGGACACAGTGGCTCAGTGGCTAAGACGCTGAGCTTGTTGATTGAAAGGTCGGCAGTTCAGCGTTTCGAATCCCTAGTACTGTAATGGGGTGAGCTCCCATTACTTGTCCCAGCTTCTGCCAACCTAGCAGTTCGAAAGCACGTAAAAAAATGCAAGTAGAAAAATAGGTACCACTTTTGTTGGGAAGGTAACAGCCGGCATTTAGTCATGCCAGCCACATGACCACGGAGACATCTTTGGATAGCGATGGTTCTTCGGCTTTGGAACGGAGATGAGCACCGCCCCCTAGAGTTGGGAACGACTAGCACATATGTGTGAGGGGAACCTTTACCTTTACCTTTTAATATTAGTAACCCTCCTGTTTGTTATGTTCTCAAACCTTCTTCCATCTTCCTGCAATAAATACTCTCAGCTTCACTACTTAACTGCTTGTATTAGAGAGCTAAAATAAGTTTTGTGAGATAAAACGCTTGGAATTCCACCTTGAGTTTATATTCTTTGTTATCAGCATAGCACACTTCTGCAGTAAACTTAGCTTGGCGCCCTCAAACCACAGCTGATGCTGACACGTATTGTGCTTCAATTAAAATTCAATTAAAAAGCGCCTACCCAATATTTATAAAATAGATTTTTAAATTATCAGATGGAGCGCACATACATGCCTCACCATCTCATCAGACTTCCACTTTGAAGAATAAAGGTAATCCTTGATTTATAACAATTCATTTAGCCACCGCTCAAAGTTCGAACAGCACTGAAAACAGAGATATTTTTTCTTTGCAAATGGTATCAGAACAATAGGTCATCAGGTTTTTATTCACAAAAAAATAGAACGCTGCAGTTCTCTCAAAGGGAAGAGTCCCATGTGCTATTCCCACTCATCTATACAATATATAAAACTGCATATACTGGATTGAGCCAGATTGTTGGGTTCTGGCTGGGCGATATGCTTGCAGATCCAACACATCTTGAGAGACAATGGAAAAACACCGCTTTAGCTCAGCTTATTTGTATGTGGAAGTTCTTTGTGGAGTTAAATAGAGATTCCCCCCCCCCCTAGATTCTTTAGATGGTAATTTGGGGATTAATCAGGATAACAGAATAGCAGAATAGCAGAGGTGGAATGGGCCTTTCTTCTAGTCCTGCCTTCAGGTGCTTTGGAGAATAGGTTGACTCCCTCTTCTTTGTGGCAGCCCATCAAATATTGGAACACTGCTGTCATGTCACCCCTAGTCCTTCTTTTCATTAAACTAGACATGCCCAATTCCTGCAACCGTTCCTCATATGTTTTAGCTTTCAGTCCCATAATCATCTTTACTGCTCTTTGCTGCACTCTTTCTAAAATCTCTACATCTTTTTTATATTGTGGTGACCAAAACTGGATGCAATATTCCAGTCTGGAATATATTTAGATCTCTAGGTCCAAATATAAATGCATGGTCTTTTTCAAAAAATATACTTTACTAATTTTCTACAAAAGATAACATAAAAAAAACAAATGAAATTATTCAAAAGGAAAATAAAGAGAGGAAAGGAAAGTGCAAAGGAATAAAGAAAAGAGATAAGCTTCCAGCTTTCTTTGATGCAGTTACAAATAAAAATTCATTAACCTTATGATATAAAATTCAATAATATCAAGTATTTCTATAACCATAAACAGTTCTACTCGTCAAATCCAAATATTAATGTAGGATTTTTTTTTTGTTTGGTTTCTAAGACAGAGTCCAAAAGTGATTTCCATTTATAAAGAAAGTTAGACAAAAATCTCCTCTTTAATCAAGGTAGATAATTTTGCCATATCAGTCATTCTATTAGCTTCACCATCCATTCTTCCATTGTGGGAATCTGTAAGTCAAGAAAAGACTCATTGAAATTGTGGGATAGAAATATTAAATTGACGATGTTGACTGCATGTAAGGAAAACTTGTATAAACTGTTTTATAGATGGCATTTTGCACCGGCAAGATTAGCAAAAATGTATAAAGATAGATCTGCCAAATGTTGGAAGTGTAATCAATCATCTGGTTCATATTACCATATGTGGTGGACATGCCCCAAAGCAAGAAAATACTGGACGAAAATACACATGTGGCTGGAAAAAATGACAAAACAACATATAGATTTGGCCATCACGGATATACATGATAAATGATAGATAGATAAATTGATAGATCAATGAAAGAAAGAGAGAGACAGAGAAGGAAGGAAGGAAGGAAGGAAGGAAGGAAGTAAAGAGAGAGAGAGAGAGAGAGAGAGAGAAAGAAAGAAAGAAAGAAAGAAAGAAAGAAAGAAAGAAAGAAAGAAAGAAAGAAAGAAAGGAAAGAAAGAAAAAGAAAGAAAGAAAAATAGGAAGAGAAAGGAGAGGAAGATTGGAGAGAGAGATGAATAGGTAGATGTAGACAGAGTTGATTAGAGAGATAGAGAGAGAGAGTGATGAGAGAGAGTGGTGGTGGATGTTAATATATATACAATATTTTTACTATGGTATATTTTCCTCAAAGAAGCTACCAAACATTTTAATGGTTATTATGTACAAAGTTAGGATAGTCTATAACAAGCGTGTCCAACCCGCTCCCATGGGTCACATACAGCCCTGGACTGCTAGTATTGTGGCCCAACAAGATAATAAAAAATATTTTAAAAATAAAGGAAGTTTTATACATATAAAAAGTGTATATTTTATAAGTTTTATATATATAATACATAAAACTTATATAATATGTGTGTGTGTGTATATATCTCATATATACACATATATAATAATATAATATATGTTATATATGTGTATGTGTGAGTGTGTATGAATGTATGTACAGTATGTTATATGCAGCTCAAGACAATTCTTCTTCACTCAATGCGGCCGTGGCAAGCCAAAAGGTTGGGCAACCATGACCTACAACATCACCAAGCCAAGAGCATTCAACGTCAGGAGAGATTCAGAAAGTCAAGAGGCGTGATCAAAGCCCCGCCCCTTTTTAATAGGCTTAGCCCAGGCAATGAAAAAGGGGCAAAAAAAAGGGGCAAGCTTTTGATGGAATGGTCATGGCCGCCATCTTGACTCTTCTGAGTCCCCGGAACTCTGAGTTCCTCTAAACAGTGGAAATGTTTGAGATTTACCACCTTCTCACTTTCCCCCTTTTGCAGTTCCAGGCATGATTATGGTACATTTGGATCCTCACGTCGGGAAAAATTTGAGGCAGCTATTTCTGAAGGGAAGCTCACTGAGGCCCTTTCTTACATTCTGGACCAACCGAGCAAGTCGTTTGAAGATTTTCCTCTCCACGTTGCTGTGGTAGGAGAATCAGATGCCGGGAAGTCCTCCTTCATTAAGACCGTGCAGAGCCCACATCTGGATGAGCCCGATGCAGCTGCGGCTGACGTTGCTACAAAAACAGATGTCCCAGATCGCACAAAGGTAGAATTTGGTCAGGTCAAATTTTCAGAGATCACATGGAACAAAGAATTACTTCGGGCGGAAGACGCCGATGGCAAGGAGGTAGACTTAAAGGACTTCCATTACTTCATCATAGTAGGCCCCCGGATTTTCCAGGCCACTCCTTTGGACCTTGCGCTTAAGATCCAAAAAATGGACAAAGAGTTTTCTCTGGTTCAAACTAAGGCAGACCTGCAGTTGGAGGAAGCTAAGAAGCTACGACCATCTGAGGACGGTGAGGAGGGTCTCTTCCTCTCCGTAGATTCCTGCAAAGAGTCCTTGAGAAATAAAGGGGTGAAAGAACCTCCTGTCTTTGCCGTTTCCAACAAGGAGCCCCACCACTTTGGTTTCCCCTCTCTGCGGAAAACCTTGATGAGCGAGTTCCTGTGGAAGAAGATTCTTGCTGTCCTTTCTCCTATTTTGGAAAAAAAGGCAGGCAAAATGAAAAAACAGAGCTGGCTGCTCACCCTTCTGTCCGGATTTATAGCTGGGATCCCCGTCCCAGGAATTGCATTCTTAGGGGGCCTTGTCATCCTCCTCAGGTTTGCTTCCTGGTGCCGCCGTAAATTTGGCGTGGATGACACGTCTCTCTCCAAACTTTCCAAGTTGGTTAAAGTAGTCCTCCCACACCTGAAATCAGTGGTGACCTCCCAGTCCAAAAAGAAAATGGTTTTACAGAGGCTGCCAGATTCCCTGGGTTCTTCGGTGATGCTTGCAGAATATTTCTATTGGGACCGTTTCCCCTTCATCGGCTGCATCGTGTCGGTAGTAATTTCACTTGTTTCCTCTTTCTTCACCCTGAAGAAACTTCCGTCAGATGTTAAGAAAGACACCCAGAATATTGTAATTGCAGCTATCAAACCGAAGAAGACAGACCCTGAAAACTCAGAAATTACTATTGACTTGGGAATATTAAAAAAAATGCCAGCTTTCAAATCCTTGGATGCAGTTCCAAAAATTACTGCAAATTGAGGATTCGTTGTTTTTAGGAATAACCAAGGGTGGGCTGCTGGGGGTTCGCAGGGGTTCGGGAGAACCTCTAGCTAAGATTCTGTGTAGTTCGGAGAACCCCCAAATCCCACTCCTGGCTGGCCCTGCCCACCCTGCCCCTCCCCTCCCAGAAGTCCCCACGCGGCCCATTTTGGATGTGAGGTAAGTGCAGGACGTGTGCAGAGGCTCAGGGAGGGCGAAAAACGGGCCTACCAGAAGTTTGGGAAGGCCAGAAACGGACTGTGGGGAGGCCATTTTCGCCCTCCCAGAGGTTCAAGGAAAGCCTCCAGAGCCCAGGGAGGGCAAAAACAGCCCTCCCCCGCCCCACCGTGGTGCAGGAGGCAGACTAGGTCATGCCCACCATGGCCACACCCGCCCAGCGACTGGGCAGAGAACCCCTTGCTAAAATTTTTGAAGCCCACCCCTGGGAATAACACATTTTTTAATGTGTCAGATGGGGGAAATTATTAAATCCATGACCCGACGAGAGTCCCCATTAGATTTAGTTTGAATTTAACTTAATAGGCAAAATATGTTTTTTTTGTTTTTTTAACCCGTTCAACTTATGTTTCAAAGCATAGGAGCCATGGTCATTCAAAGACCAACTTCAATACTTAGCTAGAACAAAATTTTGCCATGCTGAAATTTGATTAGATGAAATATAGATTTTATGATAGGAAAACTCACAACGTGCATAGTTATATTGCTTCCATCTTATCAAAAAAAAAAAAATATTCCACAATTTCCCCCTCTTCAGTTACATATAGTATGGCCCTTTATCTGAACAAAACAGTCTAACTGAGAAGTGCATATGTGGACCTGATTGGTATCAATTGTAGCAATGGCACAGAAATACGATTTCCATTTTATTTTATTTATGCCCTTTATTTTAATTTCAAAGATAGGGTTTTATTACTGGGTTTTTTTTTTTTGCATTTTGTATTCTGATATTTGCCTAATGGTTAATCAATAAAGTATTAGAGTTAGTTGCATAGTCAGCCAGGTGGATTTGGCATTTTTATCCCCCCATCAAGTCCTCCCCAAGGACTGGGATAGAGGGATATTGTTTGATGGTGTTAAAAGTATCTGTCAACTCGCAAAGCATCCCTGGCCTGCTCTTGAGTTGCCATAGGCAAGGGAGATGGGAAAATGAACTCTGCAGCTGTGGTGAGGCAGCACGGCAGTCAAAACAAAAGCACATTCCAGCCATATCTCAGTCAAGGCCTTCTCCGCGGTAATCCACAGTGGCTGGAGGGGAGTGATCTCTACAACCTGCGAAATTGCATCATTAGAGAATGTGACTGATGACACACATTGGGGGGAGGGTGGAAACAGTCAGAGCTGGAACATAAATTATGTGGGGTCAGAGTTGGCTTCACTTGGAATGTGCCAACATGAAGCTCCTAATGAATAACTGGACTTGGCCACCACAGGTACCCCTGACACAAGTGGCGTCAAGCTGGCCACACACATCCTGGCCACGCCCCCCTGGCTCCACACACATCCCACCCCGAGATCAAACAGAACCATGATGTGGTCCTCACACCCCTGCTCTAGTTGCTCTGCCTGGCTACTGTCCAGTGGTGGGTTTCAAAACTTTTTACTACTGGTTCTGTGGTTGTGGCTTGGTGGGCGTGGCATGGCTTGGTGGGCGTGGCAGGGGAAGGATACTGCAAAATCCCCATTTTCTCCCGATCAGCTGGGACTCAGGAGGCAGAGAATAGATGGAGGCGGGGCCAGTCAGAGGTGGTATTTACCAGTTCTCTGAACTACTCAAAATTTCTGCTACTGGTTCTCCAGAACTGGTCAGAACCTGCTGAAACCCACCTCTGCTACTCTCCCATTGATTTTCTACTCTCTGTTTCACCATTATTCTATTTCTTACGTAAAATCATCTGTCTTTAGCTCTGCTCTGCTCACCCAGCAAAATGTACAAACAGGCATCATATGACAGAAATTTCCCTTACATGAAAACCGTCTCCCCTCCCACATATCTCAAAAATTACCGCCTTTTTTTTTTTCTTATTATTATTAGCTTAATCTCCTACAAAGCATCTATGTACTCAAAATAACTACCTCTAAATGGCTGGGTAAATAACAATGGTAGGTAAACAAAAAGAGAAACCAGGAAAGAGGTATTCTAGCAGAATAAATAAACCTTTTATTTCCTGCTGGCAGTTTCAGCGAAACCTTCACTTTGAGCAAATCTTTTTCTTAACATAACTCTGCCCAGGATGTTAATTGCTGTCCATCTCTGGGAAAGATCAGATACTTGTTCCTCCAGAATGAAGATGGGGTAACGGAAGAAATGGTAGCTCATTTGTTGTTATTGTTGTTAGTTGCGAAATTGTGTCCGACCCATCGCGACCCCATGGAGAACGTTCCTCCAGGCCTTCGTGTCCTCTACCATCCTCTGGAGTCCATTTAAGCTCACGCCGACTGCTTCAGTGACTCCATCCAGCCACCTCGTTCTCTGCCGTCCCCTTCTTCTTTTGCTCTCCATCGTTCTCAGCATTAGGCTCTTCTCCAGGGAGTCCTTCCTTCTACATTAGGTGGCCAAAATATTTGAGTTTCCTCTTCAGGATCTGGCCTTCTAAAGAGCAGTCAGGGTTGATCTCCTCTAGGACTGACCGGTTGGATCGCCTTGCAATCCAAGGGACTCGCAGGAGTCTTCTCCAGCACCAGAGTTCAAAGGCCTCCATTCTTTGGCGCTCAGCCTTCCTTATGGTCCAACTGGTAGCTCATTAGCGTATTGATTTCTTTCCTTGAAATGCGGGTAATCCCCTGATTACAACTATCTGTTTAGTGACTGTTCAGAGTTACAACGGCCCTGAAAATAGTGAGCTATGACCATTTTTTATACGTACGGCCATTGCAGCATCCCACGCTCGGCACCTGGTTCATATTTAGGTCACGTAATCCCGTTTGGCGACCTTTGGACAAGCGGAGTCAATGGGGAAACCAGATTCACTTAACAACCAGGTTACTAACCTATCAACTGCAGTGATTCACTTAACAACCGAGGCAAGAAAGGCTGTAAAATGGGGCAAAGCTCATTTCACAAACGTCTCAGTGAGCAACTGAAATTTTGGGCTCAGTTGTGGTCGTAAGTCGAGGACTACCTGTATTTTTCTTTTCTGATGCCGAATATAGGCAGCCATTCAAAGCTGCTGTTGGCAGGAATAATAATAATAACAATAACAAGCACCTTGGGTGCAGTCCCAAAACAACTGGAGGATCACTTGAACACCAAAGGCATTGACAAATTTGCCATCAGTCAATTGCAGAAGGCAGCTTTACTTGGAACTGCTGCCATCCTGCGACGATATCTGTAACAACGTCAAACATCCAGATTTGCCTATCCCATGTCCTTGGTAAGGACTCAATAGGTAGACAAAAATGCCAACCCAGTCTGAACATCTGGCTGAGTGTGATAATAATAATAATAATAATAATAATAATAATAATAACAACAACAACAACAACAACAACAACAACGCCAGCTATCACAGTTGTCGAGGGCCAAACCGTACAGTTTATTGATATTGCTGTACCAGGAAATGCCAGAGTCGAAGAAAAAAGCACTGGAAAAAAAATCACGAAATATCACAACCTGGTCATCAAAGCTACATTGCTATGGATGAAACATGTAACCGTGATACCCATTGTCATCGGGGCACTTGGTACCATGTCCAAGAATTTTACAAAACACATCAAGAAATTGCAGCTTCCTGCAATAACACCAGTGGAACTGCAAAAAACTGCACTACTTGGAACATCGTACATCTTAAGAAGGTACTTGGTTGATACCTAAGATGCTGGCAGCAATCCGTATCAACATTAGCACCAGTCAATCGTATTTGTGACACATTTTTAAATGTTCAGTTGACCGAGTTTCATGTTTAATGAATAAAAGATAATAATAATAGTAGTAGTAATAGTAGTGGTAGTGGTAGTAATAATAGTAGTAGTAAATCCCTCATGTCACTCAACCCTGAATGAATTGACTAAACAATATTGAAGTGACCCTTTGCAGAGTTTTCAACAGCGAGCACACTTGATCTTTCAAGTCTAATATCTTCTAAGACTTCTGATTTAATGCTACAGGGGTCATTTTCACAAGTTGTATCACCATTTTAATAATTTTTAACAGCTATATTGCTTCTAAGAGTTGAATAATTGCTGTGGACAGCCTGACCATTTCGTTTGCTTCGTTGCCATAACGTAGCATTAATCATTCCATACACAAAATGGTTGCCAGTAAACACAATCCACCAGATAATCCTCTTGTACGTATTTCACTGACACAAGGAAGCCTCTTTCAGATACAGTGTCATGTTCCTGGAACAGATCCTGGCTGAATCCCAAAGCTATTTGTTAGATCACAAAAAGACTCAACGGATAAGTTTGTTTAGAAACTTACGGCGGCATGTCATCATCTAAAGAAAATGGAAACTGAAAGAAAGCCTTAAGGTGGTTACCTTCTGAAAAGAAATTTAGTTTATTGTAAGAAAAGGGAATGAAAGGGGAAAGGAGCTTGAATTATCAAGTTTGGAATACTATAAATTTAATTAGTACTGTATCTTCATGCCATTTAATAGGAAATTCCTGTTAGTAAGGTGACCAATCGTCCTCCTTTAGGGAGGACAGTCCTTCTTTTGTAAGTTCTGTCCTCTCTCGAAAAAGTGTTCTCCTACATGTCCTCCTTTTCGATATTTGAAGACTAATCTGTAAATCTCCGTATTCGATCGATGCCGATCCGATCCATTGCGTGTGATGTGATGTATTTGTATTTGACATGACGATTCGTCAAGGCTCGGTACAGTGCAGCGAGATGCGATTATGAGACGCATGCGCTCCGCACAGGAGAATTGTTTTGAGGGAGTGTGCCGCACGCAAGTGGCTTTGTTTACTTCTTACCGAAACACAACACGGCACACACGCACACATTAGACTCACTTCTTTCTCAGTGAATATTCAGT